TTCCTTATGTTGGCATTCTAGCTATTTTCTATTGTTTCATTATATATTATTAGTACAGAGAAGTATTAGAAGAAAAATAATGTTTGCAAATATTACAATATTCTATCTAATTCCACACAAAATTTGAGTAACCTCAATCTCTTCTGCATCAGAATTCCCTCGGTGCTGGACTTAATTGTTTCATTCATACACAGTATCTTCGGGTCACCATAAATACTTTTGACCTGTTTCTTCTACCATTTCGTAAAATTTACTCATGATCTCCCTGCCACTGCTCAGGGAATGGTCAATTGCTAGGGCACTTGCTTTAGATACAAAGGTTCTCACCCTCTGGCTGCCTCCAGCTACTGCAAATTCCTGTGCTTTCATCAAATTGTTTGGTTCTCTTGAACATCAAGAAATAGATACTGACAAAGATTTTTAAAATTTCTCAAATGGGCAGTTGGAGCAAATTGTGATTCATCATCCTTCTAATTATAACTATACATTTCAAAACATCACATTATGTAATTGTGCACTTATCACATCCCCTGTGTTCTTTCTACCAATTTACAATCAGGTAGGCCTCAGCTGTGGGGTACACGCTTTCCCTATAAGTCTGCTCTACGCATTTCTCTACATGAAGGAGCATGTAATCTATTTGCTCTGTCAGTTCCACGTGGCATCCCACATCATGACCAATCTCTTTCCTACATGCATTTCTTTCTGTATTTTAGCTCAGTTTACCATCAGCACCAGTTGTTTCACTCTTGTGAAAAGATGGTAATGGGCAAAGACTCAATACTCCCCAATCCTGCACCTTTTAATGTACATTTTTCATTAACTTCTATGTTACTGTTAAAAGCCACTATAAATTTTCTACATTTTTCTTGTTAATAATTCTCCTATCTCTCCATCTAAACTAATAGATTTAGTACATATTAACATATTTTGAAATGTACTGTCAGCCTGTCTTCTAACTTTTGCCAACACTCATTAATTAAAGACTGATTCTTTTTTTTTAAGATTTTTTTTTTTTTTTTTTTGAAACAGAGCCTCAAGCTGTCCCCCTGGGTAGAGTGCCGTGGCATTACAGCTCACAGCAACCTCCAACTCCTAGGCTCAAGCGAGTCTCCTGCCTCCGCCTCCCAAGTAGCTGGGACCACAGGCGCCCACCACAACGCCCAGCTATTTTTTGGTTGCAGCCATCATTGTTGTTTGGCGGGTCCGGGCTGGGGATTCGAACCCACCACCTTAGGTGTACGTGGCTGGCGCCTTAGCCGGTTGAGCTATAGGCGCCGAGCCTAAGATTTTTTTAATTAAATCATAACTGTGTACATTAATGCAATCACAGGGTACAATGTGGTGTTTTCATATACATTTTGAAATACTCTCATCAAACTGGTTAACGTGGCCTTCATGTCATTTTCTTAGTTATTGAGTTAAGACATTCATACTCTGCTTTTAGAAAGATTCACTTGTACCCTTGTAGGATAAACCATAGAGGTGACCCCACGAACCACCCTCCCTATCCCCATCCACTCCCCTCCACTCCCCTCTCCCACCCCCCTTCCCATATTCTAAGGCTATAATAAGGTTATAACATTCCTACAAAAGCTATAAATTAGTTTCAAAATTGGTCTGTGTACACTGGATACTTTTTCTTCCATTCTTGTGATACTTTGCTAAGAAGAACATTTTCCAGTTCCATCCATGTAAACATGAAGGAGGCAAAGTCTCCATCTTTCTTTAGGGCTGAATAATATTCCCTGATGTACATATACCACAATTTCTTGATCCATTTGTGGGTCGATGGGCACTTGGGCTTCTTCCATGACCTAGCAATTATGAATTGGGCTGCAATAAACATTCTGATACAAATATCTTTGTTGTAATGTGGTTTTTGGTCTTCTGGGTATATAACTAATAAAGGAATTGCAGGATCAAATGGCAGATCTCTTTTTAGTTCTCTAAGTGTTCTCTAGATGTCTCGCCAAAAAGAATGAATTAATTTGCATTCCTAGCAGCAGTGTAGAAGTGTTCCCTTTTCTCCACATCCATGGCAAAATCTCTGGTTTGGGGATTTTGTGATATGGGTTAATCTTACTGGAGTTAGGTGATATCTCAAAGTAGTTTTAATTTGCATTTCTCTGATGATTAAGGATGGTGAGCATTTTTTCATATATCTGTAGGGCATGTGCCTATCTACTTCAGAGAAATTTCTATTCAATTCCCTTGCCCACCCTGAGATGGGATCACTTGTTTTTTTCTTGCTAATACGTTTGAATTCTCTATGGATTCTGGTTATTAAACCTTTTTTGGGGGCATAACCAGCCAATATTTTCTCCCATTCTGAGGGCTGTCTACCTACTTTATTTACTGTGTTCTTGGCTGTGCAGAAGCTTTTTAGTTTGATCAGGTCCCAAAAGTGTATTTTTGATGTTGCTTCAAGTCCATGAGGGGTCCTCCTCATAAAGTTTTCACCCAAGCCAATTTCTTCAAGTGTTTTCCCTACTCTTTCTTCTATTATTTTTATAGTTTTATGTCTTAAGTTTAAATCTTTAATCCAGTGAGAGTCTATCTTAGTTAGTGGTAAAAGGTGTGGGTCTAGTGCGAGTCTTCGACAGGTTGCCAGTTAGCCAGTTAGCCCAGCACCATTTGTTAAATAGGGAGTCTTTTCCCCACTCAATGTTTTTAATTGGCTTGTCAAAGATCAGATAACGGTAGGTAGCTAGATTCATCTCTTGGCTCTCTATTCTGTTCCATATATCTACCTCTCTGTTTTTGTGCCAGTACTATACTCTTTTGATCACTATTGATTTATAGTATAGTCTGAGGTCTGGTAATGTAATTCCCCCTGCTTTCTTATTATTTCTGAGTAATGTCTTTGCTATTCGAGGTATTTTCTAATTCCATATAAAATGAGGTATTATTTTTTTCTAGATCTTTAAAGTATGACAGTGGAGCTTTAATGAGGATTGCATTACAATTCTATGTTGCTTTGGGTAGTATGGACATTTTAACAATGTTGATTCTTCCCAACCATGAGCATGGTATGTTTTTCCATTTGTTAACATTTTCAGCTATTTCTTTTCTTAGAGTTTCGTAATTCTCCTTATAGAGATCTTTCACGTCCTTTGTTAGGTAAACTCCCAAATATTTCATTTGTCACTACTGTGAACGGGATAGAGTCCTTGACTATTTTTTCCGCTTGGCTGCTGTTGATATATACAAAGGCTACAGATTTATGAGTGTTGATTTTATAACCTGAGACGCTACTGTATTCCTTGATCACTTCTAGGAGTTTAGTAGAATCCCTGGTATCTTCCAGATATGCAATCATATCATCTGTGAAGAGTGAAAGTTTAATCTCTTCTGACCCTATATGGATATAAAGACTGATATGTGATTAGAATTCCACATGGCAGTCATGGAAGGACTATAGGGGATTTAGGAATTTGTTGCACATCCCATGAAGGTTGTGTCCCTTCCTGTTAATGACATCATCATCATAGACTCTTGCTTCTTAAAATCATGCTTACTTTTCCTAGATGATTATAATCCTCTGTGCCTTCTAGTCATCCAATTGTCACTTCTGGGTCACAAGCTGTCCTTATTAGGATCTCTTTATCCCTTTAGCACTATTCCAATAGCACTGAAATTATGTTTACTTGATGGAAAGACCAAGGTCGCCCAGGTGCACTCTTATTGTTTCAGTCCCAAGGCATGGGATTGGCTGCTTTCCAGGGAACTCTCCTGCTTTCCAGTAGATGTTAATAGCAGAGCCCAAATCAAGGCTCTAACAGAGGTAAATTAGGCTGCTCTTCTTTGACACTGTGGGCATCAAAGAGGCTCCTTAAATAACTGTAGCGACAGAGCAAGTTTTTCTCTCTGCTGTCCTCTTCCCCACTTCTCTCCCTGCTCCTTACTTTGACAAGAAACGCACATGGAGGGTTCCATCTAATTTTTACATTTTATAAATCTCATTTGATAAGAGAAGTTATCAAAATCAGATTTTCCATTTATACTGCTACTTTCACAATATACTTTTAAAATTACTAATTTCCCTTTCTGTTGGGATGACTCTTGGTCCAAGATAACTGGAATTGTATATTTCTCATGCTCTTTTTTGATTGGAATGATCAACTAATCAGAGAAAGAAGAAAAGACTTGACGTTCCAAGGGAAGAACTCCTAAGTCGACAAAAACCTCACAGTTTGAAATAATAAAATAATGAAAGGCATTAGGTAAATGATGACTCACAAGGCTTGGTTTAAAATCTTCACTCTGGCACTTTTCATATAGGACCCAGTATGTGAAAGATTTCCTGTGTGCTCTTACTGTTTTCCAAACTTTATTTTGTTATCACGGACAACTTAATAGCTTATCTTCAATTTTCCAGGATTCCATGAATGGATTCATATCTGTTATTTCCTGGTTGAATTACCCCGTTGCTCCAAGTAAATTACAAGTTAAGAAACAAAATCAAACTTTAATGAAAAAGTGTCAGAATGTATCATAACCTGATAACTCCAGAAGTTATGCAAAGAAAAGCTTCTATAAATTGGCTAAAACTTAGGCCCTCAACTTCAGTTACAGACACAAAGGAAAAGATCCATCTGATGAAGGACTCTCTATTAAGAGACAGGTGTTTCTTATGCCTGTTCAAGTGCAATGCTTAAATTTGCTTACCGTGTAGTGTATATCAAATCTCTGGTAACATCATTTTGGACACTATTACAGTAAGTACTTTCATCTCCTTTCCCTGTGCCTGAATGAATGGAGAATATACACAGAAAATGAAGACCCACTGCTTGAGCAGAAGTGTCCGGTGAACTGGGGCAAGCGACTCACCCAGAATTGGTTTTTAGAGCTACAAGGTTATTATGTGTCTATGGGAAAAATAAGGAAGCCATTTCTTTTCTTAACATAACCAGAAGCAAGGATATTGATGGAAACAAGATACAAATTCCTTCTGTTTCATTCAAAGAATTTTATGTATCTTTTGCAGGTACAGAATTATGGAAGATTTAGAAGCAGACTTATTCACATTTAAAGGGTTTACTTTGGCTCGTGTTGCAATTAAAACTGACCATTTAGAAAAATTAGATGATTTAGAAATTAGAGATGATGATGTCTTCATAGTCACATACCCCAAATCTGGTAAGTTCATTCTTCCCATAGCTAATCTAAAACATAAAATGATACTTCTACAATGATAGAAGTTAGATTTTTCACTAGTATATATGGCCATATATTCTTAATCCATTGGAAATAGGAAACTCTTCAGTCTCCTGGGTAATAAGGTCTTTTGCAAAGCAGTTATGTTATTTATGACTGGGCAAGAGAACAAACAAAATGTTAAACACTTTGGGCTTTAGAAGTTCCATGAAAGTCTGAATGTTGAAGTGCACTGGGAAAGAATGAAAGAATATTTACCATCTATCAGAGACTTGGGACATATATTTGAAGCCATCTTTAATGACTAAGCATAGAAAGGAGGAAAGCTAATTATCCTATTACAGAATAACACTGAACATTTTAAGTTTGTGTTTAGGTCATAGAATGTTGTTCCATTCAAGAAAATGCTAAATAAGGACTGATATAGGAAAACAGTAAAGGGCAGTCTCCCTTCTTGCCACTTCCTAGTGTTTTTCATTTTCTGCCTGTGGATCTACGTTCTGGCTTGGTGCCTCCGTTCTTTTCTTCTGCCTGACTTTCCTTTTGATGAGCCAGTTTGACTAAAGCCTGGCTTCTTTTCCATTTTCTGTTCTGTGTATTGCACTCAGTTTTATTTCATGTGCTATATTTTGATAACACATAAGATGGTTGAAATATAAGTTGAAATATAAGCTCTTACAACAACACACATTTCAAAAGAATACTCTTTAACAATAAATACACTTTAAACCAATAGACTAGTTGCTGCGGTAGGGTTGGGGGTAGGAATAGAAATAGAAAATGAGAATCAAACAAATATACTAGTAAACGAGGGAGGGGCTGAATGAATCCGTGGTGCTAATGCCGCAGGAACTATAGGGAGGATTAACAGTCACTTGAACATCTGACATTCTAAGTGGGCAAAACCTCAAAAATATAGAAATGAAGGAGGGAGGGGGTAGGACAAGTAGAAACAGAAAAGGAAAAAGAAGGAGAGGAGGGAGAAGAAAGGCAGCCTCTTTAACCCAGGGTCACTGGAAGCATACATTCTTCCAGGGCTCCTGTTCTTCAATATCCACAGACCTGCGGCCATACCAGGTTCCCATTAACAATCCCTTGATGACCACGGCTGGTGACCTTGTAGCTGTGATGTGTTTTGTAGAAGCAGTATCTGTCATCTCAGAAAGAAGAGAGGTTAGAAGAAACTCTTTAGACTTTCATATCAATACATTTTCAGTAGAATATGTGGTCTAGCTCTGGTAGAATGTAGGCTCATGTGGTCATGGTCTTCTGCAGGCAACATTGAAGATGACAGCTGCTGATTTTAGGTAGTAAGAGGAACATGGAAGGTAAATATCACTTGTCCTTGCCAGCAAGGGATGTATGTTCAACAATGCTCTTACTCCACAGGTGCAATAGTTTACCAAGGGGGACTGAGTATCTCTGGAAACCAAGGTTAGGCTGGGAATTGTTGAGGGGCGATTGGTTTCTCACAGCAGAAATCTGCCGAATTTCCAACTGGGACTTGTGACTTGTGGTGGGGTTAGTCTTTTCAATGCATTTGAACTGAAAAGAGAAGAAGCACCACCATTAAACTAGAGTGTTTTAAATCTTAACGGTCCCATATATTAAGTAAGCACAAGAAGTATAACAAAACTAAATATCTACTCTAATTGGAATTCATCTAAACCTTTGTCTCTAATCCTACTAAAAGCTAATGGTCTAACTGTAGCTATTAACGTTTGATATCGGTCTCTATGTGGGTGTCAGTGGTCCTATTGTAGATATTTATAATGAAACACCATTTCCTTAAGCAGAAATCAGTGGCAGAGTGAAAAATCATGGGGAAAGTGAGGAATACTAGAAGTTACTTCTGCACAGCAATTCTTTTCTTTCTGCTCAAATTAGTTAATGCCCTAGGAGTAGGACAGAAGAAGAAAACATAGAGGTAAGCACAGAAAGTAATTTGAAAGGTGACATATACAGATCAGAAGAAAGTGCACAGGAGGAGTCAAACAACAAACCTTCATCTAAGAAACAAACATCTGTCCTGTTTGGCATGAAACATCTCCTTAAAAAGAAAAGGGAAAGTAATATTTGCTCTCCTATAGCCATATGTCACTCTATATAAATGAAAATACCATTACCCATTGTAATCACTTTCTTTGACTTGCAAATTGATCGCATATACTTTTGTGAAATACATACATTATTAAAAACAAAATTATTTCCTTTATAGGAACTGTCTGGTCTAAGCAGATATTAAGCTTGATTTACTTTGAAGAACATCGCACAAGAACTGCACATTTGGACACAATATATAGAGTCCCATTTCTGGAGTACTGCATTGGAAAAGAGGATCTTGGTGAAAGGCCATCTCCTCGTCTCTTCAATACCCACCTTCCATACTACTTGGTGCCAAGAGGATTGAAGGACAAAAAAGCCAAAGTAGGGAATAGAGATACTGTCACCGCCTTCCCAAACCTGCTGTCTTGCCTGCTTCACTGTGCTTCCTTACCTGCACACCACTTTCATTCAGCTGTCCAGAAACAGCAATGGCTGAAATGGACCAGATGTTACATACTTTCATTTTCAGTGGGCATTTGAGTTCTTATAATGTTTGGAGTTAATTTTTCACCTTGTCTCTTTCTGGATTGTGTAAGTAGTAGAGGTAATTTGTCATTAATAGTCACACACACACACAAACACAGACACACACATCACACCACACTGGCACTCTCTCGGGGCCTTCACCCCTGCTGCCTTCCCAGCTTCCCTTTGACACTCCTGAACTATTTCCCAAGCCTCTTCTCCCTAAAGACTTAGTAACTTTGAAGGTAAGAAAACTTTATAACAAGTCATTCTTCTCTACAATGACGCTCTGTTCTTTTTTCACATTCTTCTCTGGATCAATGACCACCTAATGATCTACTAATAATGGCAGCCCTCGGCTCATTAACTTCCCCTCTAGTTCTATGCCTGTCCCTCCTGTGATTAAACAAGTTCACATGAGTGATCTTCTGGCAGAGTCAGACAAGGGAGACGCTAACAAGGCCCTGGGCTCAACATTTAAGGAGGCATGAGCACTCAGGGTCATGCAAATACAGGATCAGCCCTAGGAAGAGCCTGAGAGTTAGGGCCTCCTTAACATTTAGAGCTCAGGCTCTACAGTTGGCCTACCCTGGCATTCATCCTGCCATGCCTCCTGGTGCTGACTTCTTAGACTCCTAGGACATTTTCCTTCACCCATCTCAGCCACCCTCTTCTATAACACACCTCCCTGTAGTAACAACACTGATTGCCATCTGGTATCTATTTATCTACTCATTTATGTTCAGTCCTCTTAGCCAGAATGTAGAACCTTCAAGACAGAGGTATAGGTCTGTTTTCTCCTGTATTCAGAGCACATAGAACAATGCTGGAGGTTGAATGAATGAAAAAGGAATTACTTTAATTTGTGACTTTCAGCCCTTGGTTATTTTGCTGCTACCTCTTATTGTTTTTAGTCCTTTTCAAGTGTTCACGTTGTAACATACTTAAGGCCAATGGGCAAGGAAAAAAGTTTATTGAGGGCCTTCTGGGGAAAGTCTCTTTACTCCTTAAAGAGGCTCTGGGAAGAAAGAGCAATAGCCATATAGAGATGGAGGAGAGTTAGCTTGTCAGCATAAACACGTGGGAAGACTCTGAGTCCTTGATGACAACACTGGATGATGAGTTAACTGAACCTGTTCCACTCCAACCTGAGCTGATGAGTTAACTGATCCTGTTCCACTCCAACCTGACATGATGAGTTAACTGATCCTGTTCCACTCTAACCAGGGCTTTTCTGTCTTGTAAGGAAATAGATACACCATGTAGAAATTACTATTTGGAGTTTTCTCTAATAGGCATAGCATGCTGTGGCTTGTTTCTCCCTTACCAGTTTCTCCGTCTCTGTCCAACCTCCTAGTGCTGAAGATTCTCAGGTGTTTGGCCTCTCCTTCTCTCTCCCTCTGCAGTGAATCTCGAAGTAATATTATCCAATCACATAACTTAAAATATCTCCACATATTTGGCTTTCTAATCAAATCTAGACTGATGAAAACTATTTAATGTCTCAGATAGTATTGCTAATCACTATCTCAAATTTAAAATATCCAAATGGAACTTTTTATGTTTTCCTCAATCCCCATCTCTTCCCCCATTTTCCTGTAACAATAACATGAGGCAGGACCAGGACATTTGGCACAAGTAACCCATTCATGCCACTTTTTGGTCTGTTCTTTTTATGTAAGCAAGTGAATTCACGACACGAACCCATTCTCAGACCAAAAGAATCGCAGCAAGAGACTAAAAGGAATTTTTTTCTTCAAGTCCTAGAGGGCCATTCATTTCCTTCAAAAAATGTCAACCATTGTTGACATTACACCTCTGAAGAGTCTCCTTCCACTCCACTGGGGATCACTGAGGGATGAGGAGACCCTCAGATGAACACTATATCCACCACCTTATCTCACAGCATTAGGCCTTAGCTCCCAGCAATGCCAAGGGAAGCCGCAAGTGGATGAAAGCTTCTCCATTTCTAATTTTTGGAAGTCTCCCAAGAGGGGTAACAAAAACTCTATACTTCATTTAATAACAATGGTGCAAGAGCTTCAGTTTTATCCAGAACCTCTGAATAGCCTGTGCAGGCATAGAATGAGCCATGTAGCTGGGGTTTAGAGTAGAAATGGATCATCTTTTGTATTCCAGTATGATTGGATTGCATAATTGTTGTTAGGAAGTGATTCATTCTGGTTGTTTACAGAGACAATTTAAAAATGAATCTTTCAGACTGGTCTGAGTGCTGTGGTGTTTACATATATTATAATTGATTACAACCAGCTAAATATTTCTGTGTTCCTTCTTCATTTTTATTGTTTCATTTGACTACCCCAATAAAACCAAACAACAAAAAATTAATAAAAAACCGAGCACAGAGGTTCATGCCTGTAATTCTAGCATTCTGGGAGGCCATAGCAGGAAGATCCCTGGAATGCAGGAGTTTGAGACCAGGTGAACAAGACTGACCCTGGCTCTACTAAAAAGAGAAAAAAATCAGCCAAACTTTGAGGCTCTTTGTAGGCTAAAAAATAGAAAAAAATAGCCAAACGTGGAGGCTCTTTGAGGATACAAGTAGACATGGCTACTTGGGAAGCTAAGGCAGGAGGACCATTTGAATCTAGGAATGTGAAGTTGGGGTAAGCAAGGCTAACGCTACAGCCTAGCCTGGGCAACAGAGCAATTGTGTTTCCATAAAAATAAATTAACAAAAGCCACCAAATCTTTCTTGATAGTTTCATGGTGTAAAATAGTTAAGAAGTAACTTCTGTGTGCCAAGCTCTTATGTTTTGCTCAATGAGGATGTAATAGTAAAATATGTGAACCTTACATTAAAGAATGAGAAAAGCAAACCCTAAATTTTACAAGGCATTTAAAACCGTTTTAGTAAGTTATTCCCATTTTCATATATGTTATGGTTTATGAAGCACTTTCACATGCACAAGTGAGTTAGTTCTGATTTAGGGGCAAGAGAGTGAAGTTGCTCTCTGCTGGGGAGTTAAGAAGCAGTAACTCCTGAGATGTGTCTTGAAGGACAGTTAATAGTCACTAAGCCAGGCATGAAGGGAGAGGCCTGGCAGAGAAGGGGAAACGCTACATGTGAAGGGGAGGGCTGAGAATGTACGGGACGTGATTAGGAATTAAGACCCTTAAAATAATGGCTTAACCCAATTGAAATGTATTCTGATGAAGCTGTGATGAATGAAAGCATCAGAAACAATAATTCTTTTCTTTCCTTGCAGGTTGTGTACTTATACAGAAACCCTAAGGATGTTTTGTGTTCATATTTTCACTTTATTAAAATGTATGCAGTGTTTAAAGCTGGAGATACCATGGAGGAGTTTATGAAACAATTTTTAGAAGGAAAAGGTAACAGATATTATTAACTAAATAATAAATGTTTTATGCCATGGTGAGATTTCAGCTTCACGAACTTGGAGGGAGGAGAAAAGGGTGGTGAAATAGAGTAAAGTGGGGGGGCAGTGGTCAGGGTGTCAAGTTCACTGATAGGATTGTCTTGGATGACCATGTCTTGTCATTCATGCAAATTCCTCTACTCTCACACGCCTCTCAAGACATTGTCTACATTACGAAATCATTTATCGTGAAAAGTGAAGACAGGTGAGTGTCTCACTAGCTCAGCAGTGTCTGTTCTAGTTCAGCTGTGAAGGGAGCTCGGTTGAGTTTGTGTTTGGTGGGTTCTTTGTCATTGCATCTTGCATGTGGCAAATGTCTGTCTGTAAGTTCCCATCCACATCCTTTTCTAAGGATCAAATGTAGCTGGGTGAGCACGAGCAAGACCTGCTGAGACAGAGACGAGGATCTAACACAGGAGGACTAAGCTTAGGCTGTGGTCCACTGGACAGAGCTGAAGGGACTCCTCAGGGACCCTATGGTGGCACCTGGAGAGGGAAGATGGCTGTGTCTATAGGTTTGGGGACAGGGAGAGCAGTGGGAAGGAGAGGAATAGTTCCCGTGACTACGCTCCGTTCTTGGTTCTTCCTTGCTCCACCTCAGACTACTTTTCTGTTCATACAAAGTACATTATTAAAAGATGAATTTGTCTTTGATTTTATGCCATTGTTTCCAGTTGGCAGCTAAGTGCTTCTCCCATAACCCTGTGAACAGGAAAATCTGGAAACCAGAGACAGAAGTTGATTTTCCTTTTGGATACTAGAGTTTGTCAGACCTCATAAACAGTTGGATTCACTCAATGTATTTATCTGATTACTTACACCTTCTTTCCACAGTGCAAGGAGGCCTTTGGTTTGACCATATCAGAGGCTGGTATGAGCACAGAAGCCACTTCAATATTCAGTTCATGGCATACGAGGAGATGAAGAAGGTGAGAGAAGTTTGCGTTTGTGATCAGATCTAAGCTCTAACCCAGCCTGGGCTAATGCATGTGTAGTTTATTCCCACAACACCAACAGAACAATCTGGACTTTGAGATCCAAGACGAAGTTTAATGTGAGACAATCTTTTGTATCAATGTTGTATGTTGTCTCCAAGGTTGTCATTAATTGTAAGTTAATGTAAAGTCTAAAATTATTTTTTAAAGGGTAAGTATGTAAGAAATTCTGTGTATATGGATGAGGGTTTGTAAATCTTAAAAGAATTAAATAAACTGGAACAAATTTGTATTTCATTAGGGATAATCTGGCCCCCAGAAACAGTCAATAGAAGCAACCTAAAATACAAGAAGACTGTTGCTCAGTCACTGAAATGCAGAGCAGGCTGTCCCCAGGCGGGGCGTGACAGCTCAGGGACGTCAGGAAGGTCTCCAGCATTTCCCACCTTCCCCCTTCGTCCCACTTGCTGTGTCAGTGAGGTCTCTCCTCATGATTGTAGGATGGTCGTCAGGGCTCCAAACTCACGTCCTCCCGGGAAGCACCTAATGCAGGAACAGAGGGACTGGACCAAAAGGGCTTTTCCCCCGCTCTGTTCCCACCTTCCCTCCAGAAGGAAAATCAATCTCAGAGGCCTCTACTTGACTTCCTCTTTCTGTTTGAATGACCAAAATAGGATCCCATGTGCGAGTCCATGTGCCAAGTTGCAGCCCTCCTTACATCTGGCCCTTCTCTCTCCAGTCCTGTCTCCTCCTTTCTCATCCAGGCCTGTTTCCACCAAGCCCCAAGGATGCCAAGTTTCTGACTTTCCCGAGGCCTCATAGCTCATGATGCCACACAACTGTCCTACTGTGCACTGTTCCCTTGTACTCAGAAAGCACATCTCCAGTGTTGTCTACCTGGGAAATTCTTATTTCTCCTTCAAGACCCCAAATAAATTTCTCTTATTTTTTTTAATTGTTGGGGATTCATTGAGGGTACACAGAACCAAGTTACACTGATTGTTTTTGTTAGATAAGAACCCATTTATATCTGTGTCCTGCCCCACACCCTTACATTTCTCTTTTTTACTGTAAATTTCTTGGACAACGACTGTCTTGCCCTGGATCCCTGGACTCAACTCCCAACACTGATTTCCTTCTATCCCTGTGTTCACTTGCACCGTCACCCAGGCCAGTGCCTGACAGACAGCAGGAACACCCCACGGGTTTGCCATGAACACAGAGACAGTGACAAATGTGCAATTAGTGAATTGAGCTCTCAAACAGCAGGCACTTGAATGATTTGTCAGCAAGGAATAAGAAAGTCAGGTCACACTGTCCAACTAAGAATTTATGACCAGCAGAAGCACCTACATTTTTCACAACCACAGTAATGCTTACCTGCGACCCTTGCCTGTGTCACCTCTGCAACAACGTGCATCACTTATTATACTGTGATTTGTTTCAGGATCTCAGAAGTTCTGTGTTAAAACTCTGCAAATTTCTGGGGAAAGATCTGAGTGGGGAGGCCGTGGATGATGTGGTGAGACAGGCCACATTTGAGAGCATGAAGGATGACCCACTAGCAAATTATGAAAATGTCCTAAACACCCGGGTTGGGGTAACTAGAAGAGAAGGCCATTTCCTTCGCAAAGGTAAAGGTCAGCAGTAAGGCACTGAATGCAGTACTTTTCACTGTGGTGCAGATGAAGCTAATTGTATTTTCCTCCCCAAGTTTCACACACTGAAGCCCTCCTGGGCCTCTTCACTTCTCTACGGGTTTCTTTTCCATGCTTTCTGCTTGGGGCTCTCCATGAAACTTTCTTATCTGGGTCTTACGGGGAATGTAATGAGTACCCTGACATCACAAGGTCTTTGAATGACCTGTGAAAATCTACCAATGCCAAGCACAGTGTCTGTCTGCCACCAAATAGGTGCTCACTTCATGTTGGAGGCATTCCCCTCCTAAATAAGGCCCAGCACCTGACAGTGAAGCAGTGACAAGCCCGTTAGCCATCACGGGCCACTCTGGCATCTCCCTGATTCATCCTGCTTCTCTGACAGGGGTCAGTGAACGACACACATTAGAGCTTTTATTATTGGGATAGGCTATTACATGTCTTTTACTAAACTAGGATCCGACTTTAAATAAATTTATAGTTCCATATTATTTATCTCACCTCTGGTGAAAGAGTTTTAGAATGCGTGAATTCTCCATACAATTGTCAAATTTGAATGTGTTAAAATATTTTAATTACACAGTCATTCTACATTATATTTCATGTTTGTTAACTTCGTATTACACGCAATAATAGACATAGCTTTCGCACTTAGTGGTTTCATAGAGTTATACACTTTATATCGAGAAGCAATAAATATTGGCTTTGTATTTCTCGAAATTGGTTTTTCCTTCCCTTACATTCATCTCTCCTTCTCTTATAATATGTTCAGCACAGGTAACGCTGAGCTGACCTAAGGAGAGACACACCCACGGCCGTTAGTCCCAGCACACCCTAATGTCTCTACATGCTGAGGCCACTGCCCAGCTCTACCGCGCTGCATTTTGTACTTAGAAGAAGACATTTTTCTGTGTTTCTGTGTCTTTAGGAAATCCTGAACATGAGTGATTTAAATGGCTATAAGAAAACTACGAGTGAGCAAAATCCTGGAGACACTATTTGTGTCTCTGCAAATGACCACTCCCACTTTGTGGAAGTGATCCCTGTGGTCACTTGCAGAGACACAAAGAGTCTGTCCTGGATTTGGTCAACCTGACCGTCCTTTGCTCTCTGGCTCTGGGTGTCTATGTTCGTGGTTCTTTCAGCCCCACTGTGTATTTCAGGTCAGAGTGATTTTCAAATCAGTATTTCTTTCCTTTCTTCTCTTTCTATCAGCTGCTATTCCTCATACTGACTGTGTATCTTTTAAAGTTTAGTTTTAGTTTATATCAGATTTAAATGAGGTAAGGGTGGAATGATTTCACCTCTGCCATAATAAACTGTATGACCTTAGGTTATTTTTTAAAATTCGATCAACATCCATGTCCTCTTTAGGAAACATTACCTCAGGGATGTCTGATCATCTCAGGGTTTTTTTAAATGATATGGTAACCATTATGAACCTGAAACAAAACAGTGACCAAGTTGTAGTAATTTTCAGTTTCCCAGGTGCTAGTCCTGAGAAGGCAGGTGATGATTCTATCTGTTTAGAGTACAATTGTAGTGGTAAGTATACTTACCTGCTAGCCTTAGAGTGGGAGAAGGAAGGGTACTAGCCACATGGAGGAGTGATTGGGAGTTAAATGGGCAGAAAAAAGTAGGAAAAATATTTCTCCCAACACGGCATTATATATTTGTTTTACCTCCCACCCCATCACAAAACTTCACCTAGGCAATTTCCCTGTTTTGTTTTGTTTTGTTTTACCAGGAACCATTGGAGACTGGAAAAATCATATGACTGTTGAGCAGAATGAAAGATTTGACAAAATTTTCCAAAATCAGATGAAAGATTTTCCATTGCCATTTATTTGGGATATAAATGAAGTATAGAATTAAGATCAGCACGCAGAATCCTAAGAAGGCACTTTAAGCCAGAAATGCATAATTATATGCTTCAATCTTTAACTATCATTGTATCATATTGCAAAAATCTCACTGATGAATGAATATTAATACAGTGACCTTTATGTCATCTGCTAAACTTTCTATTTCCAGGGATTCCTTAGCTTCTGATCAAATAAGGATTCCCCATGTTGTTTTGATATATATTTCTGGATGTTTTTACACTTTATTTTTATCCACAAACGACTTTGTATTTTTTTTGTCATATTCAGAATTTTAATTTCATCTAATAATATAACTCAACTTTTCATTTTATGGTTTCTAAGATTAGCTCCGTTAATTTAAATCAGGTAACATGATTTCTCCAGAATTTTCCTCTTGCTCAGGATGGCTTTGGCTATTCGGAGTCTTTTGAAATGCTAGGATTATTTTTTTCTATTTTTATGAAGAATGTCTTTGGTATTTTGATGTATCCAGAGTTAAATTATTTACAAATGATTATTTGCAACATGAATTTGCAACATTAAAATGTCTATTTCTGTCAGCATGAATTGGTGAACACTTCAATAAATAATGTTGGGTCAACTTGTTATTTATATGAAAAAATAATTAAATAGAATTCTTATGAATAATATCCAAAAGAAAGATGTGACTTGTAAATGTACAAATATAGGAGGGGACACCAATCCTCCAAAGTAGAACATAATCTTAGAAGCCAATGGCTTTTAGTCATAAGCAGTGAATCCCACCAGGACTCCATCCTTCCCTTTAGTGAAGCATATTTCCTTCTGTCCCAGAGTAGGTTCTATGCCATCCAGGAATGAAGGCTTACACTCAGGAATCTGGTTGGTACTTAATTGTATCACACTTGAGCTGATACTCAAGTTGCAAAAATCCTCAGAGCTCTTTTTTTCCCCTTTCTTCATGTGGGAAGATGACTGTCCGTAAACCAAGCTGCCTGTAGTTGGGGGAGGGGTGACAAGGCCTGGCTTGGTGCACCTGCTGGTCTCTTTGGGACATGTGGACCCCATGTTCACTGGCCTGAGCAAATCCATTTATGGGAATTACCCAGGGACTACACCCCTGGAGGTCCTACTGCATTACAAAGTTTGTCCAGACCTCAGACTACTCCTTTTTTTGCCATTGGTGGAGCTAGCAGGGATTGAGGCTTAGGAAGAATGTTTCCCTCTGGCTGAGCTGGGTCAAGATGCTTCCTCTGTGGGCACAAGCAGAATTCTTCCCTCTGCTGTGTTCTGCTGTGCCAGGGTGGCCCTGAGTTTCAGTGAAAAGCCCCACAATCACTTAATTCCCCTTCCCTCTGGCATACAGATTTTCTTTCCACTCTGTGCACTGGAACAGCATGCCATGGTTTGGGGAGGAGTATTGCGGGTATTGCAAGATTGTCTTTTCTGTTCTCTTCAGCATCTGTTTTCTTGATGTAATGGGAAAACCAGGTAGTACAATCAATAACCTTATCTTTGGTTCTTCTGAAGGTGTTTATGTGGATAGTTGTCACATGAATTGTCACATGTCTGTGTGGTGGAACCATTGTTGGAGGTTTCTATTTGGTCATCACACTCAGTCCCTATCTGTTGTCCTTTTTACTTAAACATGGGTTTAGGTGGGAAGGAAATCTTACGTCTTACAGAAATAAATATCTAACACTTTCTGTATAGTAAATATTGGGTTTACAATTGTATATGGATTCTCTTGTATCATACTAACAACATTATGAGGTAGGTAAGAATAGTCCACATTACAAAGTCCCAAAGCTGAAGATGCTGGTTTGGGTGTGAAGAGAAGGAAACACTTTTACACTGTTGATGGGATGTTAATCTAACAGACTTTTTTGAAAGTATGGAGGGTAATCCAAGAGCTAAAAGTTGACCATCCAACTGATCCTGTGTTCCCATTAACTAGGTGTCTATCCAGAAGAAAAAAAATCATTTTATCATAAGAACATTTGCACTCAAATGTTTATAGCAGCTCAATTCACAATCACAAAGATGTGGAAACAACCCAAGTGTCCATCAACTCATGAATGGGTAAATATACCATAAATACTATTCAGCCATTAAAATGATGACTGAATATTAACCTGGATGGAGGTGAAACACATGCTTCTTTTTTTTTTTTTTTTTTTTGAGACATGGTCTCGCTTTGTTGTCCTCAGTAGATTGCCATAGCATCATAGCTCACAGCAACCTCAAACTCTTGGGCTCAAGTGATTCTTTTGCCTTAGCCTCCAGAGTAGTTGGGACTACATGTGCCTACCACAAAACCCAGCTATGTTTTAGAAATGGGGTCTCACTCTTGCTGAGGCTGAGAAACACATTCTTCTTAGTGAAGTATCACAAGAATGGAAAAGCAAATATTTGATGTACTCAATATTAATACGAAGCCATTAGATAATCTAATTCATGCACACATAGGAGAAAAACCCATTTCAATTCAAGTTGGGGCAAGAGGGACCAAGATGGGGTAAAGGGGGGATTTGGGGTGCTTCCACTGAATGGGCACAATGTAGGTGTGTATGGCACACTTTCTGGGTATGGGACACAACTACAAGAGGGACTCCACCTAACAAATTCAAATATTGTGATCTGGTTGTTTATACCTTCACATTAACCTGAAATTTAAACAAGAAAAAAATATATACAAAAATCATCTTAAAATTCAACCATCAGAGAAACAATCCAATTCAAAATGAGCTAAAGACCTATTCTTAGGAGAGATTCCTCACCTAAGAATATACAGAAATGTCAAAAAAGCGAATAAGATGCACCACATCATATGTCATCAAAAAAAGGTAGGTTAAAACATTATTAAGAACTACTACGGACTTATAATAATGGCCAAATCCATATTATTAACAAGACCAAATACTACCAAGAGTGTAGGGCAATAGGAATTCTCATTCCTTGATGGAGAATGAAAAATGATATAGTTGTTTTGGAAGACAGTTTCTCAATTTCTTAGAAAACTAAACACACTCTTACTCTATCATCTCATTAATTACAACCAAAAATCTCAAGCAAAATACATATAGAAACTATTAGAAGATTCTACTTGGTGCAAAAAAAGAGCAAAAACTGGCTAGAGATCACAGAATTTTAGGAATGACCTAGTGGTGAACTCTCCATTGTTTATTTCCCCCTCCTATATATTACAAGCCTGGGCACTAGAGCAAGCTACACCTGGAAATTCCAATGTGCACAGACTTTGAAAAGCCCTACGAAGTTCTTCTTTCCCTAGAATCTAGATAAAGACTGAAAATAGAGAAGGCTGGAAGAACAAAATCTTTTTTTATGCTACCTACTCTACTCCCAGCAAACATGAGGGTAGAAGCTGTACTCTGCCTCCTGCACACTAGGTGCTGCTGAGCCAGTGAGTGGGTTTGCAGCCTGTTTAACCATTCTCTTCTCTATCTGAGCACAAGCAGGGGTTGCATCCCATTTCCTCCCCACTGAGCTCTGCATTTGTGGAGACTGCCAGGTAGAGTCCTGTTGATCATCCCCTCCCCCTGCTTTAATAAGAGTAGAGGCAGTGCCTTTTTCCCTCATTTCCATTTTGTGAAAAAATGCCAAAGAGGGTGCTCAACCACCCCCTTTCCAATACAGAACGAGGTAAAGAGTATAGATAGGAGGCTAAGGGCAGGAGTGGAGTATTTAAGTCTGCATGTAAATTTCCAAGGAGAATCCCAAATGACCCATGCATAAAAGCAATGAGAATCAACACACAAAAAAGCTTTGACACTTGAGTAAAAAGAGACAGCAGATGGTAACACCAAGTTGGCACAAATGTTGAAATTCTTTAACAAACATTTTAAAGCGGTCATAAACATACTCCAAGAAGAAAATATAAACACTCTTGAAACAAATGGAAAAATAGAAAATCTCAGCAAACAAATGAGATCAATAAGACAAAATGAAAACTTAGAATGTAAGACTATAATAATATTAAAAAACTCATAAGATGGGCTCAAAGCAGAATGGAAATGACAGAGGAAATAACCAATGATCTTGAAGGCAGATCATCAGAAGTTATCTAATTGAGCTGTATAAAGAAAACAGATACACACAAAAAAGACCAGAAACTAAGAAATCTGTGGAACAATAACAAAAACTCTAACATTTATGTCACTGGAATAGCAAAAAGAAGGCCAGGGGCTCAGGCTCATAAACCTAGCAATCTGGGAGGCTGAGGTGGGTGGATTTCTTGAGCTCAGGAATTTGAGAACAGCCTGATTAAGAGTGAGACTTCCATCTCTACTAAACATAGAAAAACTAGCCAGACATCATGATAGGTGCCTGCAGTCCCAGCAACTTAAGAGGATCACTTGAGCCCTGAGAGGCTGAGGGAAAAGGATCACTTGAGCCCAAGAGTTTGAGGTTACTATAAGCTATGAGGATGCCACAGCACTCTACTCAAGGTGACAGAATGAGACTGTCTCAAAAAAAGAAGAAGAAGAAGAAGAATAGCAAAAACAGGAGAATGGGTACAGAATGGCTGAAAAGTTCTAAAATTTGGTGAGAAACATCAGCATACAGATTTAAGAAGCTGTGTGAATGCCAATTAAAGTAAATCCAAAGTCAGGAATTAAACTTTGATATAACATCATATAAAATATATTCTCTGACAGTAATGGAATTGTTAATACGTATAAGTTAATCACAGAAAAATAATAAGAAAATCTCCAAACACTCCAAATCCATTAACCCATGAATGGCTTACCAAACTGTGGCATATGCATACCACCGAGTACTTACTATTCACTCATACTTACTATACACCTGTAAGAAAAGATGGAGACTTTGTATCTTTTATGTTTATCTGGATGGAGTGGAAACCCGTTTTTCTGTGCAAAGTACCTCAAGAATGGAAAAAAAAATCCAGTGTACTCAGTACAAATATGCAACCAATAAATAAACAAATATACACCCACATGAATGATAAAACACAAATGTAGTCTAGCAAGGGGGAGGGGAGAGGTGGGAGAGGAAGGGGGTTGAAAGAGGGGAATTGACAGGATCTCACCTCCTGTGCGCAATATGAGGGTGTTCAGCATGCCCACTGGCAGAAGGGCTCAACTACAACTTGAACTTTGCCTTAGAAGTGAAAACAATGTAACTTAAAAATTTGTACCCTCATATTAATTTGAAATTAAAAAATTCCAAAAACTGAAAGAAAAGAAAAAGAAAGAGCTTTGGGCTGAAAACAAAGCAGGAATAATAATGGATATTTCCTTAGGTTGTTCCTTTCAATTGTTGTTCTCTCCTAAAGTGGAGAGATAAGGAAGTTAAATCTGTCCCTTGACTTCCCTTCTCTGGACCCTACCATCCTGCCCTTGCTTGTCATTCCAAGGAAAAAAGCCCCCATTATAGAGAAAAAAGGAGGGGGGGGGAATGCTAACTCCTTCAAACCTTCTGTCAAAGTACAAAACCTTCAATTTATATTTCTAGTTTATCTTAACCTTTTGTTTTGTTTTTAGAATCCCAAGCATTCTAAATTCCAGGATCCTGATTTTAAAGAGTTCTGTAGCAGAGAAATTATAAGCAACATTTTGTACGCATGTGTACAGGTGTGTTTCGGAAAGGGTAAAGATCCAAAGAAAGCTTTTCTTCAAATTATCAAACAGGATGGAGGAGAATTATGTTCTTCCATTAATTTAGAATTTGTGACAACCATCTTGCTACATCTCATATAAATGTAAAGTGTCAAAGTTGGTATATTTAAAAAGAGAAATAGATAGCAAATTAAAGACTTTCACTTATGGTTTACAGTCAAGGCCAGATACTCATGTTGGACTCTGCATAGTATAATTCGGAGTGCTAATCCTGATCTTAAATCATTACAAAATTATGACATCACAATTATACGACCAATGGTATATGTACTTTAGTGTTAATTTGAATTTCAGCAATCAGAAAACAGGTAACCTATGAACTATTAATAATATAGGGTAAGTTTTCTACGTTGCCTTCTCCTTGAAGGTAATATTCTACCCACTTATCAGGCAGATTCCATATAAGTGGGAAGAACAAAACTCAATCCTTTTTTGTTTACTCTCGAAAGGACTCTGGGGTTTGGCTGCTGAGCACTGATGAGACATCTTCTATGAGCTCTGAGCATAAGACTTGGGGTCCCACAGAACGCAGGAGGGAAGAGGAGGGCCACGCGGTGTGGGTGGCCGGGTGGAGGGAGGGTAATGGGTGGGACCTCACCTATTGTTCATATAGCAAGGGTACAATATCAAATTTATTAAGAGTAGAGTATAAATGTCTTAACAAGTAAGTGAGGTGAAGGCTATGTTGACCAGTTTGATGTAAGCAGTCCAAATTGTATATAAATATGTATACCCCATAAATGCAGTAATGTACACGGTTATGATTTAATAAAAAATAAAAATAAAAAGACTTGAGCTCTCCTGTTCTGTATACTGGGATCCCAATGCCACCTGCACCACCATGATTCCAGGGTCCCAAGGTGTGTGCGTGTCTCTCTCTCTCTCTCTCTCTCTCTGTCTCGTCTCTGTGTCGCGCACGCATTGTACGCATGTTGTCTCTACACTCCACTAAGCCTCAAAGCACAATTTGGATCTAACTCTCAGACCGGTGAAAAGCTCCCGCTCTCCTGTGCGGGTGGCCATTCCTCCTACTTCGCGCTCTGGACTCAGAATAGGCGTTCTCAGGTTTCCAACCTAGACTGGTCAAGTCCACGTCGGATTGGCTGCATTGGAAAGAGGGGCAGGTGCTCCACCGAATCACAAACCTAGGATTTTCACCTTTTTTTAGTTTCCTTCCTCAAATCCTGGCAACAGGTGCGCATTGTTTTTCTTAGAGGAACGCTGCCCGGCGTTGCTATGGAGATAAGACGCTGCAACTTGCAGAGCAACCAGGGCGCAGAAACTGCTCGGAAGTCCTCAGCAAAGCGACTGTCTTGCGTTGCCTTCTTCCACATCTGCACTCCCCCTTCGTCCAGAACTTTTCGTTCTCTGGAATCCTTCCATGGAAGAAGATTCGACCTCCCTGAAGCAAGAAAAAGAAAACCAAGAACTGGGGAAAGCAGGGCCTCCGTGGGAAGAAAAGACAGCAACTTCTTCCCAATATCCTGAGCCAGAGTTCTCTGAGCCCTCAGAGGCAGAGCAGGGGCTAGAAACTGGACGCCAGCCCAGAAGCAGCCCTCCTCAGAGCCCCCAGTCTAGCGTCAGCCCGTCTCTGGGTGATGCTAAAGGACCAGGACCATCAACTTCCCCTTCCCCTCTACAGGAGCCTTCTCCCCCTCGTACTCCCCTGGCCCTGGCCACACAGGACCTTGGCTCACCTCTGCAGTCAGCCCGGACCGCTAGTGTGACTCCTGAAACTGGGACACTTCATTCTGATCTTCTGGAGCAACCTTTTGATAAAAGAGAATCCATTCTTCATCACGCAGGCCCGTCAGAGGCAAACACCTCTCAACGATCTCAACAACCCACATTTCAACCGTGTGGGTCGAGAGATGTGAGCTGTAGCAACTCTAAACAAAAAGAACTGAGATTTGACGTTTTTCAGGAGGAAGACTCCAACGGTAACTATGACCTAGACCAGCCTGCATCTGGGGCCTCTGAGGCTGCGCCCAGCGAGCTGGAGACAGCCATTCAGAATGCTAAGGCTTACCTGCAGAAGACCAGTAGCAAGTCCGGCTTGAATCTGTAAGTCTTGGAGAAAGAAAAAAGTATGGCAAAGAAAAAGGGTGTGTGTGAGTATCACTATGAGAAAGTGTATGGAGTTTTTGTTGTTTGTTTTTGAGACGGGGTCTCATCTCGCGTTGTTATCCGAGCAGCAGCATCGCCATAGCTCACTGTGCAACATCAAACCCCGGGGCTCAAGTGATCCTCTTGTTTCATTCTCCTGAGTGTATCACCATGCCTGGCTAATTTTTCTAGTTTTTTGTAGAGACTGGATCTTGCTTTTGCTCAGGCTGATTTAATGGAGATTCTTCTACCTTATTTTTTTCCCTTTATTTTCATTTTCCTTCTACCTTTTTAAAGACCCTAGACACACAGAAATAAAACCTAGAATTCTGTAGTCCCAGGCTTGATTGAGACCACAAAGATCATGAAGTGCAAGCATCTTTCCAGAATACTTGTAAAAAAAATAATTTTCTATCAGTAATAGTGAGCTCGCATCTAATCTGGGCCTTCTAGTGTTAGCATGGCTTGGTGTTGGGTGACCAACCATCCCAGTTTGTCCAGATTTGATCACTGAAAGTTCTGCGTTCTAAGAAACCCCTTAGTGCTGGGCAAACTGCAAGAACAGGTCACAATAAAGGCCACCAGAGTGTTTGCATTTTATCCAGGTCTCTCTAAAAATGTGATGGCCAGGTAAGTTCTGGCAATCCCATTGTATCTTTAATTTCAGAATTCACGATGAGTTTAGATTCCTAGAGATTCCTGCTTCCGGGGTTACATACTCATAGAGTCAATAGAATTTTAGGGCTAGAAGGGGTTTTAGGAAACATCTAATACAACCTATTTGTTTTTTAAACGAGGGCACTGGATCTGGAGAACCTAATGTGCATAGGATTTCAGTGGCTTACAGCACTCCCTGACTCTTACCCCTCCTGCCACCACAGTCCTCCAGCCCATGGCCTCAGTCCCCATGCTGCTCCCTCTGGCCAGCAGGCTTCTTCCTCCAAGTCTCTGCCTGCCTGGCTCCACATTCTACAAAACTCTGGGTTTAGGCGATTCTCTTTCCTCGCCTCCCGTGTAGCTGGGACTATAGGTGCCCGCCACAATGCCCAGCTATTTTTTTGTTGCAGTTTGGTTGAGGCTGTATTTGAACCCACCACCCTCAGTATATGGGGCCGGCACCCTAACCACTGCTTTCCACTTTTAAATTTCTGACATAAACTTCTTGTCATAATGCCCTGGGTTAAATAACAAGCATGCATACACAAAATTTACAAACTTGTTAAAATTACAAAAGAGTGCATTAAAAAACATTATTTATTTATTGAAATTTTTAAAGAAACAGAGTCTTGTTGTTTTTCCCTGGCTAGAATTCAGTGGTGCAATCACAGGATCATAGCTCACTATGTTCCCCAGGCTTGTCTCAAAATCCTGGCCTCAAGTGATCCTCCTGACTCAGCCTCTCATAGTGCTGAGATGAAAGAAGTGAGCTACTGTACTCAGCTGAGTTAACTAACAATTCAAAACTGAATACAAAGACATGAAATGAGAAAATTTCATTTATCGAATTATTGTATAACTGACATTACTTAAATACAGAAATTTAATTTTATTTCCAAATGCTATCTCTGAAGAAATACACAAATATCTTCTATAATATTCACTGTTATCCTCCAACTACTTTAGGGCCTCCAGTTAAAAATTGCTTAGTAAAACATGACTTTACTCTGTTTCTTATATGCAAATCTAATTTGACATTTTACAAAAGCTATTTTTTGTGGCAATTAAAACAATCTTTGTTTTAATTTTCATTTAAAAACACTTCAGATTAATATGAGGGTACAAACGATTAGGTCACAACGTTTGTATTGTTAGTTAGATCCCTGTTGTAGTTGTGCCCCACACCTAGGAGCCGTGCCATATACCCTTACACTGTGCTCATTAGGTGGGAGCACACCAATCCCCCTCCCTCGTCGCCTTTCTTCCTCCCTACTTTAATTGAATTGAGTTTTTCTGTTATGTGGAGGTGTATTAGTTTGTCTACCGGCTTCATACTGGTATTGACTACACTGGATACTTGCTTTTTTTTTTTTTTTTTTTTTTGAGACAGAGTCTTATTATATTGCCTCTTGGTAGAGTATCATGGCATCAGGCTCATAGCAACCTCAAACTCTTGGGCTTAAGCAATTCTCTTGCCTCAGCCTCCTAAGTAGCTGGGACTACAGGCACACGCCATAACGCTGGGCTATTTTTTGTTGTTGTTGCACTTGTCATTTTTGTTTAGCAGGCCCGGACCAGGTTCGAACCTACCAGCCTAGGTGTATGTGGCTGGCACCCTAACCACTTAGCTACAGGCCCCAAGCCAGCTTTTCCATCTTTGTGGTACTTTACTAAGAAGAATGTGTTTCAGGTCCATCCAGGTTAATACAAAAGATATAGAATCTCCATCTTTTTATAGCTTAATAGTATTCCATGGTAAACATACACCACAGTAAAACAATCTGTGATTACCCTGATATAATTATATGTATTGAAACATTGCTATGTACCCAAATATGTATAATTTTATTTATCAATTTAAGAATATTAAAATATAAATTTTTAAGACAATCTTGACTAAAATATAGGCTCTGAAATGGTTTTTCATCATTGAACAAACAGCCTACAGATAAGAATTGCTTCCTTCTTTTCTACCATTCTGTAGAACAAATTATTAATCCTCCCTAGTTAAAACTGTAATTATGAATTAAAATCTAATGAATATATTTCATAAACTGATACAAAAGCATTTCAGGCATGGACTTAAAGAATACTTATATAATATCTGGACTAAAGAACAATGAATAAGGCAAATATATTATATTGAAACCTGAAAAATGAAGTGAAAATTTGGACTTAGAGTTTCTGTTTTGATATTATGTCATTCACAGCCACTATTGGAGCAAATCAGACACTTCAATTACAAACCCAGCTATTGCCTGATGAGCAACAATATTTTTAGTCTTGAGACTTCTTCATGAATTTCAACACTGAATGAATATTAAGGAAGTTTGATGAAGTTTTAAAGAAATTCCTAGCCAAAACATTTCTGGCTACATCCAAAGGATGTAGTCTTCAAATACCATTTGTAGTCTTCAAATACCATATCATATTTTTAACTGCCCTTTACATTGGTTCCCTAGATAATCTACATTTTTTTCTTGATACTCCTAAGGTCCATTATACAGATAGACATTAAAGAAAAAATAGTGCAGATCAATCAATAGAAAGAAGATTATTATTAAACATCTATTTGTTTTATTTCACTATAATAAGGGAGGAGACATATAAAAAAATAAAACCCCATTCTTTGCCTGTGTAAAACCTCCAGCAGTTGCTGAATAGGAAATATACAATGTGTAACATTTCACAGCAGCATATTGGTGTTCTCAGAAAGGGCCACTCTAAACTGAGGCAGAATGGTTGGGGAATGACTTGAGTGCTAGTCCTTGAGAATAAAGGGGCTTTTGAATTATCTGGAGAGAAAAGATACATTTGAGACATAGCAAGTAAAGGCTCCCTGGTGGAACTTAGCAAATGTGTGAATGTTCTTTTTTTATTTCTCATGCGTTAGGTTGCATTGTTTGCATCTGATAGGTAAGGTCCCCTTGGTGTCCTGACCCCAAGAGGTGTACCATACACTGTAACCCTCCCTATTCCCCTAGCTCCTCCCCTTTCCCTGCTGCCTCATTCCCCCCCACCTTGAAAGGATTTGAGTTTTCCTCTTATGGGGGTATGTATTAGATTAGTTACTGGCTTCATGTTAGAATTGAATACCTTGGATTCTTGCTTCTCCATTCTTGTGATACTTTACTAAAAAGAATATGCTCCAATTCTATCCAGGTAAATACAAAAGATGTCAGTCTCCATTTTTTTTAAATAGCTGAATGGTATTTCATGGTATACACAAACCACAATTTGTTAATCCATTCCTGGGTTGGTGGACATTTAGTTTGTTCCCACATTTTGGTGACTGTAAATTGAGCTGCCATAAACAGTCTGGTACAAATGTGTGATTTGCTTTGGTGAGACAAAGTCTAATAGAACTAACAAGTAGAAACAAGGTTGGGAGAATAAGATGCATGTCCACTGAAGGGGCAATTCATGCAAGTTTCCACACTAACCAGAGGAGTTTCTTTTCAAGTAAAAAACACTTTAACATGACTGGAGAGCACTTTGTCAGACGTTTTGGTCTCATCAATAGTAATTCCATATTGTTAAATCTGGTACTTGAAAATGTACACACTAGCAGTTATGTATAGAATGAAATGAATTAATGGGAGGATAGAAATAATTTCACTACTTCAATTATCAGATAAAGAGTTAATGCAGTGTTTTCAATAGAACAAAATGAAATATTAGAGTGCATCTCATTTTAATAAAGTTATTCAACGACACTTTTAGTTGTATGTGGGTAGAGGTTACAATATGAAATGCATTCCATGTAGGTCTTAAAAACACTGAAGTAGGTGAAACAAAGGAAGAGAATAAATTTTAAAGATAGACTCAACAGGATAAGAAATTAAATTGGATTTGGTTAGAGTAGGGGAAGGGGCATAAAAAGAAGTTAGAGTAAAATTGTAAAAATTAATGTTAATCACTTTTAAATATATAACCAAGAGGGTTTAATTTCAGAAATAAAATGTCAAAACATACCTGATATGGACTATGTATCTTCTTGTAATATTTTTCTTTGGTAACTTAAACATCCTGATCCTTGTATTGTTCATTAATCTGATAATTGGGTATTCAGGCACATACATGTGCCTCCCTCAAACCTGGTCATGGCATAGGCCTACATTACCTGTTTGATGTGAAAAAAAAAATTTTTAATGTTTTAAAAACTTAAATATTCATATCATAGTGTTTCCAAAGGAAAATTCTCGGATAGGTATTTTTGGCATAGTGGAAATTACAAGTGTTTATACATTGAAAGTCACTGAGGGCTTTAAGATATTGCTAGGGTCACCAGATTTTAACATTGGTAAGGTGGGACAACATGGCAGGGGTGGGGGCGGGGCGGGAGTTGGGGCAGGGCAGGGCCTGACAACAGTGCAAACTTTGATAAGCAGTTCTCGATAATCACTTCTCAGCAATTATTTGTTATTATTACAGTTTAACATTATAAAATTAACAAAAATAATATAAAACTCATATTCTGGCGAAATAGCCACATGGCAGTCGAAAACCGTATATTCCCTTCTTGTTCTCCAGCCCGTTCGTGCATTCTTTCCAAAAATCAGGACTTTTTAAAAACGCCTAGGGACGCGGGACAAATTGTTGAAAAGTGGGACGGTCCCGCCAAAAGCGAGATGTCTGGTCACCCTAGATATTGCAGTTTCTTAAAAACCAACTAGCTGAGTCTGCATAAAATGCTTCTTGGAATGCTCTTGACTTGTACATTATCTGGAATTTTCTCTGTTTGAGTAGATATGATCATCTGTCTAATATGCTGACTAAGATATTAAACGAGCGTCCTGAAAATGCTGTTGACATCATTGAAAATATTAGCCAAGATGTGAAGATGGTACATTTTAGAAAAAAATTAGATACACTCCAAGACGAGAAGGAGATGCTCCCAACATATGAAATAGCAGAGAAGCAAAAGGCTCTTTTTCTCCAGGGACATTTGGAAGGAGTTGACCAAGAACTGGAAGATGAAATAGTAAGTTACGACTATAAATTTTAATAGTTAAATCTTAAGTTTCTATTTGGGATGAGCGAGTTGTGGCTTTAGTTTATACCAACTGTCCTTTATACCTTCCTAAGTAGAACTTGCATCTTAGTTTTTAAAAAAATCTCTTCCAGCTTTCTCCAGGCTCATTTCACATGGCTTATTTCCTTGCCCAGGGGTTTCATACTTTGTCACATTGTGTTTTAGTATTTTATAGGCCTGAGCTGTTTCTTCTATGTTTGTGGGCTAAGTTTATTGATATCGGGGAAAATGGCTTCGTCATATTTTATATTCTCTAAGGCGCCTGATACAAATCTGGGTATACTGCTATTTCTTATTAAAAGTTTGTTGAATAATGAAAGTATTTTAGATAATAAGAATTAGGTTTTAAATCAAATTGCATATTTTTTCTCTTTAACCTACTAAATGATTTAAAAGTATTTCTAATATCATTTGCATTCTTTTCTAAGGCAATCTCCTTATATTATGACTTGGTATGCATGTTATGTCAATAGGACATCTATAAGATGAGAAGTATAAAATATTTTTTAAATCATGATAGGTAAGTTGTTTAAAATATTTAGAGAAAAGTTGACAAAGGGGAGAAAAGCTACCATTGAAGAATAAAATCTGGTGCATCACCGAAATTTCAGCTTTAAATATTTCAAAATAGGGGTGGCGCCTGTGGCTCAAAGGAGTAAGGCACCGGCCCTGTATGCTGGAGGTGGCGGGTTCAAACCCAGCCCCGGCCAAAAACTGCAAAAATAGTAATAATAATAATAATAAAATAAAATAAATATTTCAAAATCGTATCCAACATCTTGTTTTCTAAATTCACCTTTTATACATGTCTGCTGAGCTTCCACATTCTATTACCACGAGACTATTTAAAATATATCTATATATCTGCAAATCTGATGTTTGGGGTAAGGTATTTTCAAAACAGGACTCTATAAGGTTAAAGATAAGAGAGACAGAGACTTAGTAAGTGCACCCAATAGGGTTTAGCAGCTTATAGGAGGAGACCCAACTTGTCACAGTGAGAGCCATAGTAGTCAGACAGAAGTAACAGGTGATACATATCAAGGAGTTGATATCAAACAGCTTCAACAAGGTGGTATTTGGCTTTGTAGCAATATACAGTGATGATGTGTCTGGGAGCAAACGTGTGGAGATCAAGCAAATAGGTATTCTCATGGAGGCCTTAAACAAAGAAAGGTCAGATTCCAGTATAAGAGTGGGATGTTGTGTTATCTATAGGCACAAGATTATAAAGCAGAGATCTACATCCTAAAACTAGAATATAGGATGAGAACACAAGCTGTTTTGATCCTGGAAGCTGAGCTCCTTAACCAGATCCTGTGAATTTTCTTAATAAAGGATAAAATTGGTTTTAGGACAGCTGAGTCATAAGTTAAAGATTGAAAGCTCCAGCTCAAAGGGTAGAAAGGATGCAGGGACAGGAAGAAAGGTAGGTCTCTGAAGCATTGAAATACGAGCTATGTGACCAACTCCGTCCCAGACTCCTAAGTTTAGAGTGCTCATGATTTCTCCTGTCTTTGACTATACCAGAATTCCTACACTTAGCCTTCAGCATTCATTTATTCATCCACCCATTCATTTGCAAACACTGTGACTACTTACTGCACGCCAGGTATTGAGATACACGTGTGAAAAAGACTGTTCTGACTTCAGGTTGTTTACAGTTTAGTGAAAGAGGCAAAAAGAAGATTGGGAAGCCATTCTATTAGTGTAATAAATTGACAGTCTTGTTACTGAACCAAATGGAGCCCATTTGCCTATGGGAAAGCCAAACACTGAAGCATTAGTTCTTGTGTAGAAAGAAAAGTTTATTGCAAAGCTGCCGAGCAAGGTACACAGGACCTGGGCTCAACTCTGTCTTCCCTACTCTTCATAGGTAGAGAGTAATGAGGCACGATGTGATTGGATCTTGCAATGAGGTGATGCCAGAGCTTGATCTTATTGGATCATGGTTCATGCCATGAGATGTCCACTTCTTAATCTGATCCCCTTACCTTGGTCCTAGCAGTTAGGTTCTGCCTATGGCTATACTCATGGTTCATCTGGGCATCCTCAGGTTATGTAATTTGCAACCTAGGGGTCCATGGCAACTAAAAACTCTATTTGTTACACAAAGTTGAAGCCAACTGAGCTGGTTCTGTGGTTGTAGCCTCATAATGATAGAACAAAACATGGGGTCTGAGTTAGAATCCTCATTCAATCACACGTTACTATGTGACTTTGAGCAAGTGACTATACTTTTCAAGCCTCACAAATAATCATAGGGGTAGAGGTGGTGTAGATGAAAGATCTGGCATATACTAGGAACTTAATTAATGGTAGCAGTTGTTATACTGTTTGACAACAGGCTGCAAGACAGGATGAACCTACTAACTCTGTTATTGGGAATTGGGCAAGGCTTTGTAGTGGATTTAATATTTAATTTGGGTCATGAAGGATAAGTCAAGAGTACATCAGGTAAAGACTATAAGGAATAAAATGCTGAGGAAAAAAGGATGATAAAAAGCAGGAAAGATTATTTAATGCTTGGAAAAGTGGAGTGTGAGTTTGGATAAGTAATGGATATGAAGCAAACAAAGTGCTTAAAGCAGGACTGCTCTTTGTACATTGATAAGAAATTTCTTTCTTATGTAACAATGAGAGGATTTTAATAGAGAATAACATGGTCTGACTTTTGATTTAGAAAGTTAACACTGGTAGTAATGGGAGGAGAAAGAAAAAGAAAGGAAAAATAGAAGCAAGGAGAGTATTAGTAGGACCCTTTTGTTATAGCACAAGTAGCAAGGATGGGGACTAAAGTAACAGAAATGAGTAAAAGAGGAAAAAATAATGCCAAAGCCTTTTTATGTGTTCAAATCAATAGACTTCTAATTATTTAAAAAGGTTAAGGGAGTCAGAGGAAGCAAGGATGACTGGACTTACCATTGTGAGAAACTGAGGGAATAATGATGTTATTGGTGAAGAAAGAGTGTAGAGAAAAAAGAGAAAACTTTGAGAGAAATGTGTTAAATACAGTAGAACCTCCACAGTTGACCACCTCCCTACACTGACCAACTCCTTAAGTTGACCTAATTTTCACAGACCAGACATGGACCACGTGTACGTATCAGTATAGTCGGCCTAGTTCCTTATGTAGACCACCTCCATACGCTGACCAGTTTGTCATAATCCCTTCCAGAGGTTCTACTGTATTGAAGTTTCTGTAGACTACTCAGATTAAAATTTCTCCTAACTGGCTAGAATTACAGATATAATTTGGGAGCAAAGTCAGGGTTAGGGAGTGAAATTATAAACAGCCATATGTTACTTGGAGTGATATGGAAACACACTCCATATCACACCACACATATCGACGGATTAGATGACTGAAAAGGAAATTTTGAGGGCACTACCATTTACAGCTCAATTAAGAAAAAAGGGAGTCAATAATTAAAGAGACTAAGAAGAAACAGCACTAGAGGGCCAAATAAGATCAAGAGTGAGTGGTGGAGCAGTGTCAAGGAAAATGTTTTACAATTTTAAATCAATGAGATGAGGATTGAAATATATCTATGTGTTTATTTTGACACTACAGTTGTAATATAAACAAGAGCAGATCATTTGTAAGAATAGCAAAGTGCTCTCAACTTCTTTGAGAGGGTCATGACTTTGTCTGACAAGTTTTTCTGATTTCAGGTGATTTTCTCTCCTACCTTTTCACAAATATTTTTCTACAATCCTCTTGAGACTCTGCTTGTTTATTTTCCTATATGTCTTTTATGGAATTATCTATTTTTCTCTCCATTATTTTAAAGCAAAAATTATTATAAATAAGGGGCAATTATCTTTGTCTTCAAGTGTAGTCATGCCGAGCATTTACTTTATTCTACATTGCCTTTATTTAGGCTGTATGTTACTCTATATATAGGATACTGTATTAATTTTTATTTACCTTATACAGGGTGGCCACTAGTGTATATAAAGCCATGTATTTAATAATATTTTAAAAATATAGCAACATAAACATACATAAAACCATATTTTCCCTATGTATGTGTGTATATAAGTTATACTACTTATTTTAAGATAGTAAGGGAGTCATTTAAATATTTTTTATAATGCAGGGATGTGGAACTGTTATTATTAAAAGTAGTCATTAAATCTCTCCAAGATACACTCTTAGAATAAGGTAGCTTTTATACTAATAAGATACAATGGTAGAAGCTACTTACATAAATAATAAGAGAAGAATTGAAATTCAGGGATTTTCATAGTTTGAGCAAAATCTTGAAAGAAATTACTGAAGTGGTGGAGAGAGAAAAGTAGAGCTAATATCAAGGTGTATAAAAACTAAAAGGGAAACAGGCATTCGCCTTACTGATAAAATTTTAACTACAACATTTATTTTCCCAGGCAGAAAACTCTCTTCCTAACATAATGGAGTCTGCCTTTTATTTTGAACAAGCTGGAGCTGGTTTGGGCACAGATGAGACTTACCGCATATTTCTTGCCCTCAAGCAGCTTACTGACACCCACCCAATCCAAAAATGCCGCTTCTGGGGCAAGATCTTGGGTCTGGAGATGAATTATATTGTAGCTGAAGTGGAATTTCGTGATGGGGAAGATGAAGAGGAGGTAGAAGAGGAAGATGTAACTGAAGACAGGAACAATGGAGAAAGCGAAGAGGATGAAGATGAGGAAGATGACTTACCGAAGTCCTTCTACAAGGCCCCACAGGCTATCCCAAAAGAGGAAAGTAGGGCAGGTGCCAACAAATATGTGTATTTTGTTTGCAATGAACCGGGAAGACCATGGGTGAAGTTACCATCAGTTTTACCTGCACAAATCATTATTGCAAGAAAAATCAAGAAATTTTTCACTGGGCGATTGGATGCACCCATCATAAGCTATCCGCCTTTCCCAGGAAATGAGAGCAATTACTTACGAGCACAAATCGCCCGAATTTCAGCAGGAACCCACATCAGTCCTTTGGGATTCTATCAGTTTGGCGAAGAGGAAGGAGAGGAAGAGGAAGAGGTGGAAGGTGGGCGAGATAGCTTTGAGGAAAACCCAGAGTTTGAAGGCATTCCAGTGATTGATCTAGTTGAATCCCTGTCCAATTGGGTTCATCATGTACAGCATATTCTCCCTCAGGTATGAGCTTTATGGTTCTCAGTCTATAACAAGCAAATGCAATAGAACCTCCATAGTTGACCATCTTCCTACATTGACCACTGCCTTAAGTTGACCTAATTTTCATAGACCAGACATGCACCAAATATATGTGTCAGTACAATAGGCCTCGTTCCTTATGTTGACCACCTCCGTATGTTGACCCATTTGTTACAGTCCCTTGGGTAGTCAACTTTCAGAGGGTCTACTAAATTGTCCCAATCTTGCACATAAAGATATCCAAAATGAAACATTTCTGATCCTAAATACAGAAAGAAATCATTAAAAACATGAGTAAAGTCTGGGTGTGGTGACTTACTGTAATCCTAGCACTTTGGGAAGCCAAAGCAGGATCATTTGAGGACAGGAGTTTGAGACCAGCTTGGGCAATATAGCCACATCCTGTGTCTAGAAAAAAATAAAAAAATTAGCCAGGCATTTTGGTGTGGGCCTATAGTCCTGGATGCTTAGGGAGCTGAGGCAAGAGGATCATTTACCCCCAGGAGTTTGAGGTTTCAGTGAGCTATGATGACACCATTGGATTCTAGCTCAGGTGACAGAGGGAGACCCTGTCCCCAAAATAAAACAAAACACAGAGTACTATGTAATGTCCAGGGCCCCAGAGATCTTCAGACAGATTTTTATATTTTCAAGTGGAAATAAAGCAAATTCTTTTGTGGAGTGTTTAACAGATGATGTATGGGATTAGATTTATGTGTTCTGAAGTTACTACTCATTTTTTATATATTAAATACAGATGAACACATCAATTTTGGAAACAGTTCTTTTAGTCTATCTTTATAATACATGGAGATTTTCTGCAATAAAGGAGTATAACAAAAACAAGAAGCAGAGAGTGATACCTAGCAGCTACATAGCACCTATTGTGCCAGGTGTGATTAATAGCATATATATGTGTGTGTGTGTATACATACAATTTAATCATCACAGCAACCCTATGAAATAGTATTATTCTTACCTTACAAATAAGGAAATTGAGGCAGACTATAGGAGACTATAGCTAATAAGTAACAGAATCAGATGAGAGGCTATGCAGAATGGGTCCAGAGTGCATCCTTTTAACCCCTCTCATCTATAGAGTCTCATCTACAGGTAGAACATCTTCATCATACTTTTGTCTAGATAAGAGATAATCTTAATTATCTATAAATAAGAGTTAATTAAATGAGAAATTATAAATCCCAAATCACCACATATAACCTTATTATCGCATTTAAAATTTTAGGGTTGTCATCATCATAGCTTTACCTCTCTCCTAAATTATTTATTACAAACCAGTAAAATGCATTATTCCTTTTTCACTAAGATTCTGCTAATTTTAAAATATGACTGAACCCTGAAGTTCTGTAAGTTCAAGAAATTGGAAAATTCTTGAAATTAGTAACAGTCTTTTCTTTGTAACAACCTGGATCAAAATAGCACTTGGAAAATGTAAGATAAATGAGTGACTAATTGACCAAATACCCACACAGTGAAACCCTCCCCTGGTAATTGCTTCAATACAAATGAATATTCTGAGATCTTTAAGGTCCTCATTAGACTACTAAATCTTGCTACATCCATTCCCAGGGTCGCTGTAATTGGTTCAACCCTATGCAAAAAAATGAAGAGGAAGAAGAGGAGGAAGATGAAGACAAGGAGGAAGAAAAAGGAGAAGAACCTGAGGACATAGAACAGGAAGTGGGGCCTCCGCTCTTGACACCAATCTCTGAAGATTTAGGTTATTTTACCTAGCTATTATCACACAGTCACACACACTGTATCATATACTATGTACATTAGATAGCAAATATATGAAAGTTGTAAACCTCTACAAAGTGGACAGGAGCCAAGGTTTCACCCCTTTTCCCTTTCCTGTGTTCTGGGATGGTGGGGAGTAAAGAAGGTGGCTGACACCCCAATGTTCTTTGACAAAGTTGAAGGAATGATGCAAACAAGAAAGATAAGTTGGCTGCTTCTTACTGGAAATGCTGACATCGCTCTAGGGTGTCATATTTTGTCTTGCATTCTGTAGACCATGAATAGCATATATGCTTATGACCCTTGATCTTTTTCATAATAATGATTTGACCTTTCATTTGGTCGTCAAATATTATTCCATCCTATAAGCCTCCTCTTTCTTAATAAAACAGCTCATCTCTGCTGCAAAATTGGAGGTGTATATTTCAAATTTCATTGTTCCAAAACATTTATAAAATATCCTGATTTTATGTTAAACTTCTGGGGTGTTTTTTGTATGCAGAATGTGTTTGTGTGTGTGCAGGTGTGTGAAGATTGATACAAGTACCTTCTCCATTGCATGGTAGATTCTTGTGTATTTAGGAGTTAAGCTTTTGAATTTCTCTTTGGATTCCAGAGATTCAGAATATGCCACCTTGGACAACCCGACTATCCTCAACTCTTGTCCCACAATATGCTATTGCTGTTCTTCGATCCAACCGTTGGCCTGGAGCATATGCCTTTTCCAATGGCAAGTAAGTATTGGAACATTTACAAAGCCATTATTGTGACATATGTAAGATCTGGAAATTATAAATTATCACTAGAAGGTTCAGTTTTTATTCTTTCAACTCAACTTTAGTATATTTAGTATGTGCCATAAGATTTATTAAACTAACATTTGTATCATACGGCAAAGCTTCAAATTCAGGACATTAGTTATTCAGACGTCTCCTTCATCTCAATTATCTAAATTACTTAAAATACGATATAATTTTTAATCTCTGATTATTTGAGTAATTGACTTGGTCTTTTACTTTATAGATTAATGGAGGTAAGTCTAAGCAATATTTAAATTAATTTAAATCTCAGATCATTTTTGCTGGACATCTTGATAAGAGATAATTAAAACCACTTTCAAAGGAATTAAGACCTAAAGAGCTTACTAAATATCCTTTTATCCTTTGCCTAGAACATAACACTTCCATGTGTCTTATGCTTCCACTTCTTTCCTAATAATCCTGTGTCAGAAGCTCAGTGGAGCTGGAGAGCAAGCTTAGCTGCCAGTGTCAGAGTAGCCATTAAAGCAACAAGCCAAAAATGAGAGTTAAGTCTTTAATCACTTACTGTGATAGTAAGAGCATTGGCTCTCCCTTCTCATTTTCCCCCAGGGAATAGTCCTACCAGTGGAGGGTTGGCTGGGTCAGCACAGATAAAGATGCCATGTAGATGAGGAGGTTGTGGGGTCATCTCATTGACAAAGGAGTCCCCAAACAAAAGGCTCCTGCAATTTTCCTGACCCAGAGGCTACTAGGAGGGTGGGAGGGCTAGAAGTGGAAAAGTACTGAGTACAGAGTCAGAGTGGGTAAAGTCCTCTGTAAAGAGACCTAGGAAGGAGGGCACCTGGGCTAAGAATGCAAATACAGGAAGAGCACCACCAGCCACAAGGAGCAGCTTTCCTGACCACAACTTTCCTTAGAGGCAGTAATGTAATGGCTGTCACATGTGAAGAATGACATGTAACTTTTCAACCACAAGCAAACTCCTCACCCAGCCAAGTGTTTGTGGAGCTAGGAACTTTTTAAAAGCTAACTTTATGGAAGATAGTAAGTTTTGTTTTCCTGAAAATGACTGAATGGAAAAGAAGGCCTTTACTTTTGGTCTAGTTGGCCTCATGGTTATCTTAACCAGTTTAAGCAGTTTAGATCAAAATAGTTTGGAGGTAGAAATATTGTTGAGAAATATTTCAGACTTAGCATTTTAAAAGTATTTTTAAAAACTTATGGGACTCTAAGCCCTTTATTACAGGAGGGTCAACTTTTCTGGGAAATTGTATAATGTTTTGTTTTGTTTTGTTTTTTTATAGAAAGTTTGAAAATCTCTACATAGGCTGGGGTCATAAGTATAGTCCAAACAATTACACACCTCCAGTTCCACCACCAGTTTATCAAGAATACCCCAGTGGGCCAGAAATTACAGAAATGGATGACCCTAGTGTGGAAGAGGAGCAGGCTTTCAGGGCCGCACAAGAGTCAGTTGCACTTGAGGCCGAGGAGAATGAAGAAACTGAGGAAGATGAAGAGGAAGATGACGATGACTAAGATCAGCTTGGGCACACGTGTCACTGACACACTCCCTTATGTGGGACTGACTTTATATGTGTGAACATATATATATATATACGTATATGAATACACACACACATATAGAGAGAGGAAATTATTTGCCCGCAAATGTTATTCCTTACAAATATACAACTTGGAATTTCACATGTAGAACTATTCATGTTTCTAGAAAGGTGCTCAATGTATTTTCCAGAGGCTAAAGGCAATGCAATCACATCACTACTCTAATGGTTACAGCTAACATAATAAGTGCTTGTGTATCATTTTTAAAAGATCTCAAGATTAAGTTCTAATATGGCAAACATTGAAAGATATAATCCATAGAAGTTTCTTGGAAACTTTATACTTTAAAAAAGAAAAACCCACTGACAACCACTGTACTAGAGTATGTATACTTAACCTGAGTAAGACCTGAACCAGAACGTGTATTCTTAAGCTTGTGTAATTAATCGTGTAATTGCCTATAGCTGGATCTGTGATACTGTGTGCAAGCACCAATATATGTATTCATTTTTCACTCAAAAGATGTTCATAATTCCATTATTTGCTCAAAAACGGTAGAAACAAATTTTTAACTATTTTGGTACTTCTCAAGAGGAGTCAATCTAACTCCTTCATCCTACAGAAATTGATTTAAACTATTGGGGATTGAGGAAAAATAAGTTACACAGAGATGGTTAGTTGGAACTATCCAAAGACTTCAGTCTTTATTTTCTACCACTGTTTTCCTCAAACATTTTTCTTCATTAAAAAAGTACATTAAGTACATTTAACTCCTATATGTTATTTTTCTTCATTAAAAAAGTACATTAAGTACATTTAACTCCTATATGTACTTGACAACCTGCAGCTATGAATAAAAGCTAAGCACAGTTCCTGAAATCAGCTTTCATTCAGAGGATTATAAAAAGAAAATTAGAATAGACTGCAATTTAGCAAGTCTTATTGTGATAAAGAATCAAAAAATAATTCCAATCTATTGCTGTTATTTTTGTAAAATGACACAGCAGTTCTCTGTTTCTGCACTTACCTTGTCATAGACTGTTTGCAGATCACCAGTCTACACTTCAAGTAACACTGTTGTCAAACAGATAGGTGTGCTTAAATTCAGACTTGAGCAGGTCAGTCAGAGCTACCAGCCAGAGTGTTAGGCAGAAAGGGTTCTAGGCAGAACTGGCTCCATTTTGGCAAAAGACTTTGGGCTGAAAAGAGTGAAACTTCCACTAAAGAGCGAGCCTAGAGTGGTAAGCAGAAGCCAGATTATGTAGGTCTGGATTTTACCCATAATGGAAAAAACCCCCAAAACTAAAAAGTAACACAAATGTATTTGTATTTTAGAATGTCTTGGCTTCAGTGTGGAAGGATAAGAGAATCAACACGAGACAGGGAAGCCAGTTAGGAGGTTATCACATTAGGTAAGGTGAAATGACCACATGAAAACAGGCTAACAACATGGGGATATAGAGAACTGGTCACGAGTCTGAAGGACAGAATATTAGAAAGAATAGAATGGTTTCCACAATTCTCCACTTGGTATTTCATCCTTGAAATCTAACTTTCAGTCTTTGTCAGAGTATGTAAAATTCATAAAACTTAATTCAATTTTTCATGATGTAGTAACATTTGCTTTTCTTTGTTGCTTAACATCCTTTTCTTTATCTACTCTGATTTCCTTTTGAAGAACTGCCTCTGTCCCATTGAATAGTATCATGCCAATCAGATGTACTCTCTTTGGAATCTGAATTTTGAGCAAAGATAATTTTACCATGGCTCCTAATTGGATTGTTCCTGCTATAAATTAGACCGTGTTCTGGTCTCCACAGTTGTCTTGGTTCTATCCCAGTGCTCTATTACTACCCAATGGATTATGAGCCTTCTGATAATCTTTCAGTGGATTTCTTTCTGTTTATGTTGGCCAAAGTAAGATTCTTGCTTGCAACCATACATGGTATATCCAACAAGAATTTCAAAGATTCTTTTCCAGAGGACACTTAAACACTAGACTCTCATAGTTATATGGTTTGTGCAATTATTTAATAACAGGAAATCCTTGTTTTAGAACTATGCTATTTAAATATTAAGATTATTTCTAAGCAGTGTACAAGGAATTTCATCATATAGGTTCTCTAACAGAATACAGCCAAATAGTATAACAGTAAGAGCTTGGAAGTGGAATGGCCTAGGTTCACAACTTGGGTCACAATCAATTTTGGGGGGTAAATTACTAACTCCGCAGAACTTGAGTTTCCTCATGAGGCTACTAACGATATTTGTCTCACAAAACTATTTTGAATATTAAACTAATACATGTGAAATACTAAAAGTGCCTACAAAAGTGAATTCTCAATACATACTAGCTTATGGCTATAAAACCAGTTCCTTAAATGTGGATAAGAAAAAAAAAAGCCCACAATGCAAATGAGATATTTTATTGAAATAATCACTAAACAATGAAGTATTACAGGTATGATTTAATTAACATAGGTATTTTAGAAATTAAATTATATGTTGAGTAGTTGAGAGAATTCATAGGTTTCGTAAGTTGTGTTAGGAGTTCAGTATACGAATTTGGAAAACAAAACGTAATTCCGAAGCATTGAAATGCTTAATTCTTCAAGGAATCTTCTCAGCTATAAAGACTTGAGAAGCTTGCCTCCTGGCCTTGAAAAGAATTTTAAAAAACATCAATTATAAGTTATAAGGCAATTAATTAGAATATTTAATTATCATTCTACTGTAAAAACCAAGTTTCATTTTTTTCATTCAAGATAAAAATGAAAATTCCTAAAGAAAAATTACAATCTCAAACTTAAGCAATTAGGAATAAATATTTCTAAAGCCAAGCCATAAAGAAATTAAAGAAAATTTCAGATAAAGACAAAACAGAATGAAATAGAAAAATTTGCTTTTTAATGGAATAACTATCAAAAGTAATATGCTGCTGGCTCAAAGTCAGAGAAAGATAAAAACAGAGGAGAAGAGTAGAGGGATAAATGGTTATGAGTTGAGAATCTCTGAGAAAATTATCTCCCTCAATTATGGCCTTAAAAATATCACATCAAAAAGATTTTTGATGATTGTGCTATTTTTACAATTTGAGTCCCAAGACATATTAAACCAAGATAAATCAAAACTCACTAATTAAATCAAGTTGAGAGCAAAGGATGGTACAATGGAAAACTAAGAATGTGAAGTAATAATTGCACATCAAACCGAGAAAGAGTTGAAGATGGTATTATATATATATTTGTATGTATTATGTCACTGAATTGAATTAGAAGGTATTTTCTAAAATAAATTTCTTCATCTTAATAAGTGCTTTCAAGTCTAGAACAGGGTCTAAAATTAGTAGATACTCAAAATATAATTATATCAGAAATGTCTGATGGTAATGTTAGTTGCCAGAATAAAAAAAAATTTTTTTGAAAACCAATCACTCTTGGAATAATAGTTGCATGATTATTAAAATATTAAAACTCATCTTAAGTCCAAAAATGAAAAAGAGAACATGAAATATAATTGTAAATATCTGTATTTTGGTATATTGTATATTATCAACTTTATTTTTAATAAATCATAGTTATTGCTTAGAAGAACATAGACATTTTAAAACCAGGTTATAAAAACTAACACAAAATAAAAGTAAAATCACTATTTTGTCCTTATTTAAGGTTGTAAATTTCCACCTGATGGTCTGAAGATCAATCAGTATTTCAATATTTGCTGAATTCCTATAGTATATAAAGCACTATTAAGAAGGACAGAATAGTAAAAGGCAAATAATCTTTGGTCTTTATATGATCTGAAAGAGAAACCAGCTTATGACTTTACATCTTTTGTATTAACCCGGATTGAGGTGGAATGCATTCTTCTAAGTAAAGCATCACAAGAATGGAGAAGCAAGAATCCCTTGTATTCTATTCTAAAAGGAAGGCAGTAGTTGAGCTAATACAAGGGGTCGGGAATAGGACAAAAGATAAGAGGCAACTCTAGTGAAGTTAAATTCTGGAACCGTGTATATCCAAAAGGCCCAAGTACATAAAATAGTGCCTCAGGAGTTAAAGAATCACATTTTAATAAACAATAATTATAAAATCAATGAGTTAGGTATTTTTTGGATTAAGTTAGATTTTCTTACCATAGGTGAGAATCATCTGACATTAAAAATTAAATATTATAAAATAACATTTCTGTAAGGCTCTAAGTAACTGATAGTCATTAGGTACCATTCAAATTAAAGATGCCTATTCCAGAAGTTAAAAACCATAAAATGTCTTTGCCAACTTAGGAAAAAGAATAAGGTACTAGGAGATATAGAAGTATAACACTGATTTTAACTAAACATTTTAAACTTTAAGTTCAACCCATTCAAGTGTCTCATAATATATAGATACTTACAGCTTTTTCTTCTGGAGAAAGTGCACCCTCTACTGCCACTATCTGGTACTGCTTATGTTTTAAATTTCCCATAGATTTCCGAAGTTGCTTGAGACTGCTGGCCTCTATGTCTTGCTTTAATAGTTTCTGCATTTCTCGAGAAGGACATCCAGGGTCAAATATTAGTAACCATAATGTTCGGTTTTTTCTCTCTTCAATTCCAACAACTGTTCGACTATGGCCTATCAAAAGATTTTTTAAAAGAATATGTCATATCATCTACAGCTGTAGTATCTATATAGTGTGTGAGCATATTGTATTTAGAATAAATATACATACAGTCAGCCTGTCTAATGTGTATAAGGTAGGACAATTAAGCTTGTGAACTCATCCTAGAAAAAGTGCTATATACTTCATTGCTGAGTATCACTATGGTCACCTTTAAAACACTGCCCTTGGCAAGCTATGTGCTAATGCACCTATTCCTTCCTTCAAAGTGATTTTCAAATTCTTTTTCCAGAATGGCCATCACAGCTGTCATCATATTACCCTAAATATCTTTTGAATGTCATTAAAATGTCTTCCTTTCAGTATTTCCATTATCTTCAGGTAAAGACAAAAGTCACTGGGAGCCAGATCAGGGGAGTAGGGAGGGTGTTCCAATACAGTTTTTTGTTACTGGCTAAAAATTTTCTCACAGACAGTACTGTGTGTGTTGGTACACTGTTGTGATGTAAGAGCTACCAGTAGTTGGCCAGATTTTCAGATTTCCTTTTGCTATACCAATGTTTACTTGGTCTGCTATGTTTTTCACAGTAGTCAGTGATTTTGACACATAATTCAATGAATATTTGCAATGTTCTCATCACTTCTGCTTGTTACTTGCTGCCCTGGACTCTCTCCATTAGAGATGCTTTCATTCCCCCCCCCCGAAAAATGTTTAATCCATTTGTACCCTGCCATTTTCTTCATGGCATTATGCACATAAACTTGGACAAACATGTTCCTGATTTCACTTCTATTCCTGCCAAGTTTAACTAGAAATTTAATGTCTGTTTATTGTTCTAATTGAAGCTCTGACATTCTGATAGCACACCAATACACACAACAATAATGAAGGCCTCTCTGCAAGACACTGCCACATGTTGACACAAACACAACTGTGAGTCACTGATATACCAAGTTATGAAACCTGAGTGAGTTGTTTATATGTGCTGCCAACTTAAGCACGTAGTGGCAAGTAATTGTCAGACCCATAATGCATATGTATTTTTATGTAGTTAGAATCACAGTTCACATATACCTGAGTTCTCCTAAGTCATAAGCGTTAGTTGAGTCTACTTCAGTTTTCTTTTGCTTAATTTTAGTTTTCTAAGGGCTTCATTACAAAAAATTCTGCTTCTATTTTGCCATATATTTTACTTTTCCCTTCCCAATCCCTTGATCTCTCTTATTCAAATTATCTCAAAGAAAAGGATATGAAATTTATCTATTCTAGAACAAAAACTCTCATGGTTCCAAAGGTAAGCAAAAGTAAAATTATATATACTAGAATATCAATGGGGAGGGCTTACTCTCTTACAGTTTGTATTCCTAAACACTGAAATTCCCAACATTTACTTTATTTCTGTCAGTCCAAATCATCAATTCAACAAAATATACCACGCATCTCTGTGACAGGCACCATTCCAGGTAGTAAGATACATAGCAAAAAACAAAATAAACATGCCTGCTTTCATGGAGCTTATATCTAACAGGAAGAGACACTCTATAAACAAAGTAAATAAGCAAAGTAAATGCCAGTGCTGGGAGACTGGGATAAGGAGTGGCACTTTTAAATAAGGTAATGGCAGAGAAGGCCTCATGTAAGGGACATCTGGGTGAAGACCTAAGAAGGTAAAAGAAGAACAAAAAAAGAAGGGTGAACCAGACAAAACAGCACACGAAAAAGGCCCAGGAGAGGACAGGAATATTATCCTTCATTACCCAAGTAGCTCTGAAAATCAGACAAACGTTATAACACCTCCCCATTGTCAGAATCTCAACCTTAGTCAGAATGTAATGGTTTGTTATCTTATAAATAACATCGCTATCTATGATTTATACCAGGCATCCTTAAACTACAGCCCGCAGGCCACATGCAGCCCGCCTAGGACATTTATCCAGCCTGTCGGGTGTTTTTGCTGCCACTGCCTGTCCTGCTTAGCAGCCGACTCGTCCCAGGGCCCACAGTCCGGCCCTCCAACGGTCTGAGGGACAGTGAACTGGCTCCCTGTTTAAAAAGTTTGAGGACTCCTGATTTATACTAACCTTGATGCTGAAGATAGATAGGAGGTTTAGATGTACACACTACTTTTGGACTTCCTTCCCTCTCTGGAGAATAATAGTTCAATATCCACTCAAATAAGCGAGGGTGTGTACCTGAAGGACCAGTTGACTTATGAAAATCAACAATACGGCACCTTAAAAAAAAAATCAACAAAATGGATTACAAAGAGAGTAATTTTTAAATACTGGAGTTTTCACTTACAAAAATTCTTAGTTTAGAACTAATTGTATCTAGATATTATTTCTATGAAGGAAGAAACAAAATTAAATATACATTTTTATTATTTATCTGGAAAACTATCATTTTTGTGGGAAAAGTAATTGTTTAAATAACTATAAGGTCGATGAGTTATCTAAACATTACACACCTTTTCTGTATAACATTTCCATGAATTGTAAATGAGGATCATACCTAATTTTTCAAAAGTCATCTATATGTAATCTGGGACACAGTGTTTATTCTAATACCTAATACTGATGATCAGTTAGAAGCTGACTTCTAATTTTAATTCAATAGCCATTTTCATATATCAAAAATATCCTGAATATTTTTCTTGTCAGTTGTCTCAAATTCTAATAACAAGAATACTTGCAAAGGTTATAGAAAAATATATGTGTGCCCACACCTATACATCTAACTTTCTCCTATTTAGCACCAGAACATGGTAGTATCCTACCTTCAAGTGGGAGTCACCCTTAAATAAACACTTTTTAACTAGAAGTACTGTTTATACTCCTCAATAACTATTTTTAAAAAGGTCAAGGTTTGGCACCTGTGTAGCACCGCAGGTAGGGTGCCGACCACACCTACCTGCACCGGGGCTGGTGGGTTCAAACTTGGCTTGGGACTGCTAACAACAATGACAACTGCAACAGAAAATAGCCAGGTGTCGTGGCGGGCACCTATAGTCTCAGCTACTTGGGAGGCTGAAGCAGAAGAATTGCTTAAGCCCAAGAGTTTGAGGTTGCTGTGAGCTGTGATGCCATGGCATTCTATTTATTCATAAGACTCTGTCTAAATGAATAAATAAATAGATACATAAGTCAAGTGGCTGGAAAGGGTGCGGCCCTCTCATCTGTCACACAATACATGTTCATGGGCAATCTGATTCTAAGCCACTGGTAGACAATCTGCTTCTGGGTTAGGGTTTTCTACGGAGATAACTTGCAACTTATCACTGAGAGTTTTAAGGCTCAACTGAACTTGTGGATAAATTGTTCAGAGGTTTGACTGCATGTTTAGATTTATATACAGTATTGACTAGTACCACGTATGAGACACATAGAGAGCAAAAGGAAGGGATTGTAAATAACTAGTAAAAAAATTCAGGGTCTATTAATAAAAATGATTTACTAAACTATTTAAGGTATCAAGAAAGACACTTGTTATACAGGCATTTTAGAAGGAAATTTTCCTTTCCTTAAGAATTCCTTAAGAGTACACAAAATGATATGATATACTATTTGTAAGAAAAGGCATGAACAGACTGGCAAAAATAAAAGAAAAAAGCAGAAATAAATTTTGAGGGCATTAAAATAGTTTAAGAAAGTTATTGTACACACAGTATTATTAGCTTTTCTATTTAAAATGTAAAAAATATTTTTACTTCTGTATCTAATAATCAATTAATATTGTAAAACTGCTATGGAAGACTGCTTACATTACTTAGAAACAAATACATATAAAAGGAAACATAAAACCATAAAGCTTAAGGTAAACTCTGCATTAAAGATGATCACAAGCATCTGTCTCTGTTTCTAAAACAGTCAGCTGCCACCTAAGACTTAATAAATGAAGTCTGCTATTCCACAAGTTCCATGCACTCCACTCCTATAGCACTTCTAATCAGCTTTTTGTACCTCAATCCGCACTCTCTGATTGGACAACTAAGGATTTCTCAAAGTTAGAAGAAAGCCTGCAAAGTGAAAAAGACTAAAACAAATGGCCATAAAAATAAATCAATAGGGAGCGAATGGGGACGAGGAAAAAAATGTTAGAAAAAAATTTGTAACCATAAAAGAATATGATACTATGAAACTATCCCTTCAAATTAAAAGCATAATTGCTAAAATAAAAATTTCAATGAAGTAGTTGAGAGACAAAGTTAAGTAAATCGAGAAAGTAAAACTAAAAACAAAGATATGAAGTAAGAGACATGATAAACTTAGAAGGTCAAAGAAGTTTGGTGGCCAACAAACAGAAGTTCCAGAAAGAAAAATTAAAAAAAAAAAAAAATAGGAGGGATCATAATTATCAAATACAAACGTTAACTTCTGAACTCTTCCTACTTGCCTGCCATAGTTCTAAGCACTTTATTATCTCATTTAATTGTTACTACAATTAATTCTATAAAGTACTTTTTACTAATATCTTCTTTTATTAATGAAGGAAGTAGGACACACTCAAGTTAAGTCATTCAGCTAGTTAAGTAGGCAAGCTAGTACCAAGTTTGGGCAGTTTGACTCCAAAGTCCAAGGTCTTAACTATTCTACTAACTGAGATCTTAGAATTCACAATCCCAGACTCAAAGGGAAAATAACTGCCCACCAAGGAATCAAACCCCACATTCAAGGTGAAATTTCGTATCAGGGCCAAGAGAAGATAATGAAAAACTTCCAGAGAAAATAGATAGGTTGAAAAAAAAAAAAATGAGAATTTGATAGCATCTTAGTTTCTCAACAGTAATACTGATTCCTAGAAGTCAATAGAATAGAAAGTTAATTTGATCTGAAAATGATTATAGAAATAAAGCCACCCAGTGCTTGCTTCAGCAGCACATATACTAAAACTGGAACGATACAGAGAAGATTTGCATGGCCCCTGCGCAAGGATGACACACAAAGTCAAAGTCATGAAGCGTTCCATATTAAAAGAAAGAAAGAAAGAAAAGAAATAAAGCCACCCACACTATCATTTAAGTAATAAAGATTAGGTACCCTGTCTCAGGAAGCTAAGTAAGTGCTCAAGCAAAAAAGAAGCAATACAGGAAAGAGAAAAACAGGAAACCCGAAAAATCCAGGCCCCATTACAAGAAAACAGTGAAGAAATGCTACATGGTAATAGCTGTGGAAGGGAACCAGCAGGCAACCCACCCAGACTGGCTCAATGAGAACAGAAGGCTCCGGGAAGGAGGGGTCTGGAAATAAAGACCTCAAAGCACATAAATGAGTGTCTAGATGAGATCATGATGCAGTCAAACAGTAAAAGGGGAAAGGCAAGGCAATTATTAACAAAAAAAAATTTTAAACTTGTTAGAAAAGGAAATAAAATTAGCAATTGGCAGTATTTACAAAATTGTAATGATGTAAACATCTGATTTTAATAACAATTGAGATTTAAACATATTGGAATTGAGGTAAGCAGGTAGAAGATTTAAAAAATATATAATAGGCACCATGTAAAACTGATGAAACAGGAAAAAACTATAAAATTGTATTATTTAAAAAGAAGGGAAGTGACAGCTGCCCGTGAGAAACAGGACCTGCAAGTAGAGAGGAGCAAAGATAGGAAATAAGTTCTTGGTTTTCATTATAAGCATTTCAAGGCCATTTAATTTTATTCATATTTCTTCAATAAAAAAAAAGCTCCCAGATATGGTTATAATATTTATTTGGGTTTTTAGGTACATACTTTATCCTTAGAGAGGTCAGGAGGGTATATACTTCACATGCTCCAATCCAGGCCTTTGTTCCCTGTAACCTGCTGTTAAGTTGAGAGGCCCCCTGAGGATCAAAACCTTCCTTCCATGCATCTTCAATCATAGACTGAATTTTTGGAATGCAAGGAATGGACATACCTAAAATTATACAAAGAAAGATATTATATTATAGGTGCTCAGGTATCAAACAATATCATTTATCAGTATATCACGAACTGTACAGGAAACTACAGCAGTTTTTAAGACAATTATGCCTAGCTCAGCACCCGTATCACAGTGGTTACGGCATCAGCCATATACACCAAGGCTGGCAGGTTTGAATTCAGCCTGGGCCAGCTAAACAACAATAACTGCAACAAAAAATAGCCAGGTGTTGTGGCAGGCGCCACAACAGTAGTCCAGCTACTTGGGAAACTGAGGCAAGAGAATTGCTTAAGCCCCAGAGTTTGAGGTTGCTGTGAGCTGTGACGCCACAGCACTCTGCCAAAAGCAACATAGTGAGACTCTGTCTCAAGAAAAAAAAACCCAAAAAACAATTATTCCTTACATCTTCTATTATATCATCTTCTCTTCTCCCAACCCTAATTCTTATTTCTTATGTAAATATCCACTAACTTTGTTAAAGGTATTAATTGTCCCTGCTATAACTAATACATTCCATATCAAACCCATTTTATCATATGACAAGTTCAGAGTCATACCTTTCAAGCAATCATCATAAGCATCATTTTGTAATAATGATGAAAGCAGCATCTGGAAATTTCTGTAACCGCAACCCCAACCTTTGTCACCCAAGGATGAATGAAAATGATCCACCACTGCAGAAAGCCACACATGCCTCACATCTGTGGAAACATTCTGATAATACCTATGAAGTGCTTCAATAATTCCTAAAGCAGAAAAAGAGATAAGAGTTGGAAGGTTTTGTTAATCACCTCTGTATGGCTATCTCATATATTTTTAAAATCAATCTCTCCCTTAAGTTACACATCTAAATCCTGTCAATTCCATCTTCTTTACCTTCTTACTGCTACAACCTTAGTTCGAGTTCTTGGCTTGTTACTATAATCCAATTTTCCTAACAGTAGCATTTTACCTGTTAAACTGAACTGAAATTATTCTCATCCTTCATTTCTGCATCTGCAGGACCCCACACATAAAGTAAAACTGTTGAAAGAATTTCCTTCTTATTACTCCATTTTATTAAACATACTGCTAGAGATGAATTTGCTCTTAATCAACAAACATCAATGGCTTCCTATAATCTATAGAGTAGCTTTAATCTATGGTACATGAACTTCCACCATAAGATATCCTCAAAACTTATCTTTCATTTAATGCCATTCTTCTTGCCATAATTTTGGCCGTGGCTTAACTAAACATATTAAAGCCTTGTCTTTCAAGATTCCTGGGACATACAATTTTCAGGCAGGGACAGTGGTGGCAGAAGCATAGCAGCATCATGGACAGTGCAGATAGGGACAGAAGGCAGTGTAAGGCAGATTATTGCTGGATAAGCCCTAGCACTCCTGAGCTTATGCCCGAGCAGTCTGCATGTGCCAAGATCCCTACTTCCAAATCCCTAGACCCTGAAGGAAGCCCACTTTCATAGCAGCCCCTTAACATGATGGGCTGGCAGTATCTTGCCTTCTGTGAAAGGACAGCACTGAGAGGACTGGATATTTCAACTTGTGACTTTTTTTTTTAAATGTTGCACACACACACACAGACACACACACAAGCCCTGTTAGCTATATTTGAAATAACAGGTTAACAGGCAACAGTTTACTGGTGGTTCTGCTGCACTATTGCAATTTCAATTGCTCTGAAGCAATTTTTATAGGATTCTTTAAAGGAGGGAGTCAACTTCATGGCAAGGCAGTGGTATGAGGAGATTGCATGGGTGTGTTGAATCTATAATATGTCTGGCTCAGAATAATTTCCAAATCTGTCAATTAGAAATTCTTTTTTATGTAAAATGGCCTTTTAAAAATTCAGGATCTTCATTGTTTTAATTCACTAAACTAGTAAAGCCTATCTAGTTTACATGATAAAAAGGTTTTTCTCCTCCAAAGTAAAGAAATCTTAATTCAGTCTTATACTGAAATTAACTGCCATACTATGTCTTAGTATGTAGACACTCTATTGGAAGTATTCCCCTTTGAGCTGGGCGCCAATAGCACAGTGGTTAGAGTGCCAGCCACATACACTAAGTTGGTGGGTTTGAACCTGGCCCTAAAACAATAACAAATGCAACAAAAAATAGCTGGGCATTGTGGTGGGCACCTGTAGTCCCAGCATCATCCCAGCTACTTGGGAAGCTGAAGCAAGAGAATCGCTTAAGCCCAAGAGTTGGAGGTTGCTGTAAGCTGTGATGCCACTGCACTCTACCAAGGGCAACATAGAGAGACTCCGTCTCAAAAAAAAAAAAAAAAAAAAGAGCATTATAAATTAAAAAAAAAAAAGTATTCTCCTTTAACAGAACAATCAGATCCACTTTAGACAGTGTAAGAGAAGCACTGTCCTAATAATGGTCTCTGCTCTTTGTTTTATATTTGTATTTCCAGAGTGAATATCTTTTAGACTCCTGTATACTTAGATCACTTCTGTATTGATATTCCTTCAGTGTCTGCATCTACAACTTTAGTAGGAAATACTGCATAGGTCTGAAAGAAATACGTAATGATTTTTTGTCTTAAAATCTTGTGGTGTCTATAATTAAGGAATTGATGAATGCTGATAAAGTTTAAGTTACCTGAACTGATGTCTAAAGCAACAAGTACTGTGAAATTATTGGACAAGGATCAAGTTTATGCTTAAAGCAAACCCTGACAGTAATTAGGAGGCAACATTCTATCATCAGAAATGGAAAGATGGGTGTGGCTTTGAAATAAATGAGCACAGGCTTTAGAAGAAATAACGCAGCAGTATTTACTTAAAGAGATAGATCTGTTCCCATTTTACTGAGTCTAGTCAGGTTTGAATAATGTAAGTACCACAGGACATAAGAAAAGGTTCGCTTTTCTCTGCTGCACCTGTTTTAATGAAAGGATTTGTTAGGTAACAGTTTAATTCAGTCCAAAGGTTGCAGGCCACAAGTTTCCTTAAGACCATAGGTTTCCCATCCAACCACTGGAGGCTATAAGCATTTGAAATATGGTTTTTCTAACTGAGATGTGCTGCAAAGTAAAAATACAAAATACATTTTGAAGAATGTATAAAGAATGTAAATTATCTCATTAATGAGTATCTCAATATCTCAATATTAATAGTTTTTAATATTAGTCACATGTTAAAATAATAACATGAATATACATTGGGTTTAAACTATTAAAATTAATTTTATCTGTTCCTTTTTACTCTTTTTAATGTGGATTCAGGATATTTAAAATTATACATTTGGAGCTGGGCGTGGTGGCTCACATCTGTAATCCTAGCACTTAGGAGGCTGAGACGGGTAGATTGCCTAAGCTCACAGATTCAAGACCAGCCTGAGCAAGAGTGAGACCCTCCTCTCAAAAAATCAGCTGGGCGTTGTGGCAGGGGCGTATAGTCCCAGCTACTTGGGAGGCTGAAGCAAGAGAATCACATCACTTAAGCCCAGGAGTTTGAGGTTGCTGTGAGCAATGATGCCATGGCACTCTAATGAGGGTGACAAAGTGAGACTCTGTCTCAAAAAATATATATAAATAAATAAATAAATTATATATTTGGCTCACATTATATCTCTACTAGACAACAGTGGTCTGCAACATCGTAAGTACCCAACAAAAAGTTTTTGAACAGGTTCATTTTTAAATGTTAAGTAAATTAACACAATATAAAAATAAATTATCTTTAAGTGATTTATTTTAAAAATAGAAGTTCAAAAGTTTCAAAACAACACATTTTAAAAGATATTTGAACAGTCTTATGCAAAACTACATGAATCATGGATCATGAAAATTAAACAAAATTCAAATGACTTTATTATTATATCAGAGATATATGCAAATGAAAACTATGATCTTGGTGCTTAAGTACTCACCAGAAGTTTTTGTTTTTCCATCATCAATACCAATTGCTAATGATTCCATCATATCAGCTTTTCTTCTATGAAATTCAGATGGATGCATTCTTCCTCTATTCACTTCTATCTCCATATTTCGTAGTTGCTGTTGTTTGTAGCCTCCAGAATTATCTAAACCATATTGTCTCTATTGAACATTAAGAAAAAAACTACTTAATTTTTATGTCCCTGCACCTTGATGAGAATGCAAACTTAACTCTACTTTTATTTATTTCAAAATATATGTTGAAACATTTTGGCTTATAGATTTTATATGAGTCAACTTAAAAATGTTTATGAAAACTAAATCACATCCATACAAATCCCTGACTTACATTAATAATTACATCTTCTATAAACAAACTCTGTCGCAAGAGATCTATTTTCCTTGTAGTAAGCAAAGTAAAGGATTTCTGTCTTTCTACTACAGGTACAGTGAAAGGCAGAAGAGTGCTAATTTTTTTTCAGGAAACTCGTCAGTATTTGTTATTTGGTTCCCAGGCTAACCCACAAAGTATACTTATTCCATAATTCATTCATTCAACCGTGCCACCCAGTAAAGGAACTATGTTTCTTCACACTTGACTGAGAATCTCAAATTGTATGTATAGAATTTTCTCCACCTAAATCAGCAGTTTTCAACCTGTGGTTGTGACCCCTTTGTAATAATGAAAATACATCGCGGCATTATGAGAACCACTGATCTAAATAAATACCTTGCAAAGATAAAAAACTTCCTTAAATACTAGAAACCTTGTGCACTAATAATGTTCAAAATTACGTAAGGCATAAAGACTTAGAAGTAGGCCATTTTCTTTCCTCCTCTGAATTCTGGTGGGAAAATACTTTGCAAGTAAAGAATCATCAATGAAAAAAAAAATCCTAAATTAGATCTTCTAAAGCACATTGCAAAGAACATAGACATCTGAGATGTCTGAGAGAAAAGGAAATAGGTCAAATAAGTCTGGGAAAATTATGATACGTACAATTTACATTAGGATATTAAAGCTGTTGAGAAGTCCTGAAGTACACAAACCTGTTTAACTGAACACTTTCAAAACTACTCAATCATAAACCCTTCTTACTTATACACTATACTATTAACACACAGAAAAAGAACATTTAAAAACTCTATGAACAATATTCCTAGAGAAAACACTATTCTGTAGAAGACACTACAGTCCACAAATTAGGATTGAAAAGGGGAAAAATGGATGCTAAAAATGTAAATGCATTAAAAAAATAACAGATGCTGCCACATTAGTTCAACAGATACTGCTACACACTTAAGATAAATGAAGTCTCAAATATCATCAAATGCTCCTTTCTAAATCCCTGAAAATACAATCAGTAAAAGAATTTAAGACTCAGGAGACATTAATTCTAAGTATAAATCTTATTTCCAAGTACCTACATAAACATTTAAATTCTGAGTCTTGATTTTGTAATTCACCCCATCAACTTACATAGGTTTGAAGCCAAGCTTTACCACTTAATAGCTGCCTGACCCTTAGCAAGTTACTTAAACATTCTTTGCCTCCATTTCTTCATCTGAAAAAAAAAGAAGGGGTGGGGGGCTAAAATAATTTCTTTATGGATTTGTTATAAAAATGTTAATATACTATATGTGATTACCCCCGTACCTGATCAGAATCTTATAAATGGTAGTTGTTATGAACTATATAATATACACAATAAATTTAATAATAAGAACAAAAATAATACACTGGAGTTTTAAAAGCATATTTGAAAAATAAGAACTCTAGGCTGAGCTCAGTGGCTCACTCCTATATTCCCAGCACTTTGGGAGGCTGAGGTAGGCAGATCACCTGAGCACATGAGTTAGAGACCAGGCCGACCTAGAAGAGACCCCATCTCTAAAAATAGCCGGGTGTTGTGGCAGGCGCCTGTAGTCCCAGCTACTAGGGAGGCTGAGGCAAGAGAATCACTTGAGCTCAAGAATTTGAGGTTGCTGTAAGCTGTAACACTGGCATGGCACTCTACTCGAGGCAACAAAGTGAGACTCTGTCTCAAAAAGAAAAATAACTACCAAATTAAAATATCATAACTGTTATTAATTCTGTACCTGTAGCTTCTGAAATTCTTCTCTTTCTTGTCTTGATTCTTCAGATTTCCTCTTTCTGTCTTCTTCTTGTTGAAGCTGATGAGCCAATTCTAGATCACTAGAACACTGGACTCTATCCATGCCTGTTAAATATTTTTAATGTTCAGAGTGAAATAACTGTTGCAATCAAAGTTTATTCATTAGTTAACACATATTTTAAAAAGAGTAAATACTATTATTTGCCATTTATTCATGGCCCTAATTTCACAGACTCACCAAGTACAAACCTAGCAAAACTCAGAACTGCTATAAGAAATAACCTCCATTTAAATGAAAACTAATGTTCACTGAGGGTTTAAGCTATGACATTTCCATTAATTATCTCATTTGATCTTCCTGACAAACTTATGAAGTAGGTATTGTTATTTGCTGAGGAAACCAGAATTTAAAGAGGTTAAGTAACACCTCACATTGATGCTCCTTAACACAACTAAGGCAGATTGATATTTCAAATAAATACTAGGGGAGAAAAAGGAAATAATAGAGAGCATAAAAATATCCATTTATACCTAAAGGGCAGGTGTTAGATAATTTAATAATTATAGTTTGGCCCCAAACAAATGGTATAACTTCAAAATCTTACCCTGCTTCCTTTCTACCCTATGTTCCCCAGAGCCATTAATCAGTGGCTCCTGGCCATTACCTGTCTCCTTAACCCCATAACAAGATGGTTAAGTTATGCTACTGAATACTCTTTCTTTCCTTTCAAGCCTCTCAGCAACGGCTACATCTTCCTATTTGGTCCCCATCCCTCCCATTCTTGGGGATGTACAATTCACAAACGCTTTTAGTATATCCTATCTACAGGATTTACTCAGACCCTATCTTTCTCTAATTATCCAGGATAGGCTTATATGATAATATACGTTCCCATACGAAGCCCATTATAGAGTAAGAATTATCAGATATTCAGCTTCAAAAGGGTTATCCTTCCATAGCACTCCCATGTAATCCTGTCCAAAGAAAGAAAACTCATCAGCTGGAGTAGTTGGTAGAAAACTACCAGAACAGAGAACTATTCTAATCTCTGGGTTAGGCTGAGTGAGCAGGTAATGTTGTCCATGAAGAGCATTAATATTGGTACTAAGATCATTGATACTGGACACTAAAGACCCTTGAATTAAAAGAAGCTTTCTATGTCCCTTAAGAAACTACAATTGGGGAGAACACAATTGTTTTCTCTCAGAGTCTACCTTACATTTTCATTCAGTGAGTTTGTAAAACTCATATAGGATCTTTCTACTTTTAAGGTATCATAATGATTAATAAATGCCATTATTAAAAAGATAAGGGACAGAGGAAACCTATAAAAGAGTCATTCTAAAACTAATAAGTAATTTTGGAAGTTAGGACAAGCAACTAAAACTGCACTGAAAGACATTTTGGTTATATAGTTCATATTCATTTTTAAAATTACATGTGCCATGCAGCAGTTTAAAGATCAACAATTTTTGCTGACCAAATGCTAAATTTGATCACTTCTAGCTGCTGAATGGCCTCAATTTGTAAACATAACACTTTTTAAATTGCATAATATTTAAAATCAATGTTTGTACCTTCTAAATATTGGTGCTCCAGTGCAAAACCCAGGATGCACATCCCTGGTTTGGATGGCAGTCAAATAATTTATCCCTTACAACTTCTTTGTGAAAACAATTTCTAAAGAAAAAGTTGCAACTAGATAAGGAACGGAATTATTTTTAAATAGTATGATTTTTTCCCTATATCAATCTAAATATTTATGTCTATAAAAATTGTAAAATTATTATTTATAAAAAAATTTATGTCTATATTCTAAGATTTGTGTCTTAGGAAGTAGAAATTAAATCACGATATTTTTATCTTGAAGCACACAAACATACCTTGTCTAAAGCTGCTTTCTTCTAAGTGCAAGTCGACATGTTCCTGGAGAATATGGTAATTTGTACACATGAGCCCACACATAGGGCAGTCATAGAACGGTTGATCACAGTCTGTATTAGAGACATAATAAAGTTTGTTTTATTTTTTAAACTTCTAGATTTTTTACACCATGTCAAAGATTGCCTATCACCTATGAACCTATTCCTCTATCTCACTTCTATTAAATTCACCTTTCTAAAGTCTTTGCTTTAATTAAAACCTCCTATATAGAACGTATAGACTTTATTTGTTTATTTATTTTTTGGTCATTCATAGCCTCCCTCATGTTTTTATTTACTTTCCAGCCTGCGATTTCATGCATCCTCTAAGGATAATCATTCCTTTGAACTATCTATATAAACTCACCTATTTCATTTGTTGCAACTCAAAGTTGGTTAAATCTAGCTACCACTTCTATACCTCTAATGACAACCAGTTCTTCTGTAGTGCTAGATATGACACCAATTTACTGAGAACTTATGGGAAATAGTGTGTCAGTGGAACAGTGTCTGGCATTTCTCATCAATGGGAATCCTTGCAGCAGCTCATAAAATTTTCATTATTAGCAGATAAAAAAATCATACTTAGAACACTCAGTAATCAATGAACGCTATTACTAAGAATTGACCAAGACTAGATAGATACTTTAGCTATATAAAAAATTGATAATACTCCTATAAACCTGCAAAAATTAATTAGGTAATAGGAAATAAAAATAGAATTTACAAAAGCAATACAAACTATAGACTATACAGGAATAAAGCTAACACAAATGTACAATGAAAAAAACATAAAATTTTATTGAGGGATAAAAAAGATGAATTAATGTGGAAATGTACTTTGATCTAATTTCAAACTAAATTACAACAGAATTTTCATGAAACTTGAAAACATGGTTCTAAAATACCAAATAATAATGTCTAAGTTGATAATGAAAATCAAGAATGAAAATGATAATGAAAATGAAGAGGGAAGTACTGTTGGATCTGACGTTGCTGACTTGTTACAAAACTACTGTTATTATAATACAGGGGTAATAAGAAAGCAATAGCTAAGTAGAAAAATAAAGTGCATCTAAAAGACTTACCCATATAGATAAGAAAACTTAATGAAAGATAGATAAAGTACTATGAATCAGTGCAAACCTGGTTTCTGGACAGGAGAAAACTAGAAATTAGTTTTTCAGTTCACACAATACACACAGACTCAAACATACACAAGCCAGATGGGGTTTAAAAATGTGAAAAAATATATGAAACATTAAACTTTTTAGAACATGAGAGTATTTTTCTGATCTCAGGGTAAAGAATACTTTTTTAGACAATTCATAGAAAGGAAATATAAACAAAAAAATTTAAATCCTGCACAAAATTAAAGGATAATCAATAGCCTGTGAAATACAGCTTATGTTAAGAATTTGCATTGAGAAGATATTTAAAAACCAACTGAGGAAGACAATCAACTCACAATATTTAACACATAAATACAGTTGGCAGATGCATATAACTTAATAGAAATATATAAAAAATTTTAAATGCTACTTTACAACAGAGGAAATTAAAATAACTGTAAAAAAGATATTAATTTCATTAACAATCAGGAAAATGCATTTAAAAAGGAATCCAGACATTGACTTTGTATCTGCAGTCCCCAAACCCCAGGCTATGGCCCCTTAGGAACCAGGTCCACAGCAGGAATTAAGAGGCTGGCAACTGAGCAAAGCTTCATCCATAATTACAGCTGCCCCATTGCTTGCATCAGAACCTGAGCTCCACCTCCTGTCAGACCAGTGGCAGCATTATGTTCTTCTAGAAGCAGAAACCTTACTGTAAACTGCACACGTGAGGGATCTAGCTCAGGGCTCCCGCTAATTCTGATTATGGCGACTTATATAATCATTTCATTATACAGCAGAACCTCTCTAAGCTGACCACCCAACAGTATAATGAACTGATCAACATACTGAGGTGGTCAACCTAATGAACTAGGCCTATTGTACTGGGATGTACATGTTGTACATGTCTGGTCTATGAAAATTAGGTCAACTTAAAGAAGTGGTCAGTGTAGGGAGGTGGTCAACAATGGAAATTCTACTATTACAGTGTAATCATAATAGAAATAAAGTGCACAATAAATGTAATATGTCTGAATCATCCTGAAACCATTCTCCCTTCCCCCCATCAGTGGAAAAATTGTCTTCCATGAAATCAGTCCTTGCTGCCAAAAATATTGGGGATCAGTACTTAAGACCTTTTACAAAAATTAATTCAAATGGATCACAGTTCTAAAAATGCAAAACGATAAAATCTTTAGAGGTTGGTGATTAAGTTTTTAGAGCCATGAAAGAAAAATTAAACTGCATTTCATTGCAATTAAAAACTACGAAAGTCACTATTAAGACAGTGAAAAGACGAGCTACAGACTGAGAGAAAATACTTGCAAAATATTCATCTAATAAAGAACTTGCAAACAAAATGTATAAAGATTCTCAAGGCTCAACAATAAGGAAAAAAATGAGATCCTAAATGTGTATACAACAACAGAGCTGCAAAATACAAGCCTCAAAAGCAAACCTGACAGAACTGAAAGGAAAAACAGATAAATTTGTAGTTATAATCAGGGATTTTAACAACCTTTTTCTTAAAAATTGGTAGAACTACTATTCAGCACTAGATAGGAAATCAGCAAGGATATAAATAATCTGAACACAAATAGGAACTAATTGACACATATAGACCAGTCCACCCAATAAAGTACATTTTTCATTTAAGTGCCCACAAAACATAGACCCTATCTTTAACCATAAAATAAATCTCAACAAATTTAAAAGAATACATAGTGTGTTCTCAAATCATAATGGAGTCAAACTAGAACTCAATACAGAGCTTAGGACAGTCTAGATGCCACTGAGCTTGTAGAAATAAAAAGAATAACCCCTTGAAATGGGACAGGTTTCAAAATTACTGATGATATAGCTGAAACATCCTACATATGCATCAAAATTCTTTCCCATAATAGTATTTTTATATTTTAATAATGGCAAATGAACAATGTTATAAACATAAATGGATTAAAAAACATACTTGTAGTAATCTGAGTTACAAACTAACTTTCAGGACACCAGATATTAAACTGAGATTACTTTTACTTATAATAATTTATAACAAAATAAACACCTTACCTTCTAAAGGATTGTCTAAAAGATTGGCATGTTTTGTTTTCACATGAGTTTCCATGTCTTGACTACATTCCTCTGTATTTCCACAGAACGGACATTCAGGAGGACTGTATACTGTTTCATAAATTGATCCCTTTCTTTCAGACTGTTTTTCCTTACTTTTCAGGAATTTTCTAGATTCAGGTAAGTTCTCTGCATAAAAGGCTTCAGGTTTTAAAGTACTATCCTTAGGCAGGGTTTGAGCTGAATTTTTCAAATTAGATGCACAAGCGGAATGAATACTTGAATTCAAGTCTGTTCTACACTGTAAGGTGGTGTCCTTTTTGTTCTCTGAAGTTCCATATTGCACTGTATTGATCCTCTCAAAATTTCTTTTGAGGGTATTCTGCTCAAAATGAGCAGTTTCAATATGAAAACACATTTCATCATAATTCACTCCTGGAAACTTGCAAAATGGACACACAACTTCATTTTCCATGTGAACAATTAGTAAGTGAGTCTTCATGTCGGATTCTGAGGTTACTGTTTCACCACAAATATCACAGGAAAGCATGGTATGCCAGGTAGCTAGAAAGGAACACAACATTAGGTTTCAGAGAGTTGAAGAAAAACCAATTTCACAAAATAATTTCAGATAATTATTTTAATATTTAATGTTAGGTTATTTTAATGAAGCAATTTCCAGTGTACTTTCTGTTCCTCAAATACAGAAACTTATTCATAAATTTCAACCACAATTTCAGGCTTATGGTTTCCAACAAAATTAATAATAACAAAAAGCAATAATTTAAAAAATAACGCGGTGCTCATAGCACAGTGGTTATGGCACCAGCCACATACACCAAGGGTGGAGGGCTCGAACCAAACCGGGCCAGCTAAACAACTGCAAAAAAAAAAAAAAAAGCCAGGCGTTGTGGCGGGTGCTTGTAGTCCTGGCTACTTGGGAAGCTGAGGCAAGAGAATCACTTAAGCCCAAGAGTCGGAGGTTGCTATGAGCTGTGATGCCACCACACCCTACCGAGGGCGACACAATGAGACTCTGTCTGAAAAACAAACAAAAAAAAATTTCAAAAAGTGTGCCTAGTCCAAGGTGGAGAAAAAGTAACATTTAGAAAAATTGCCCAGGCAACATATGTCAGGTAAAAGAAAACCAATCTATCAACTGATGCATCTAAGTACAGGACACTAAAGTTGATTAAAATGCTGAGCGTAAATAAACACATCTTAATAAAAGGAGTTTAAAACACTTTAACAGCTCTATACATGTATCTGTAACTAATTTAAGTATTACTTTTAGAATAACAGACTAGGTGACAGGGCTGATACCAGGAGCAGGGGCTTGAAGATTGAATACAGGTGTTAAACCTCAAGCAAAGGCTAACTAGAGGGGCTGATAACCGCCGACAGGAGCCAGTTTCAACTGGCTTGTCAGCTCTGACACCTCACATGAACTCTGGCTAATTACAATGTAGTTTTAAAAATTTCCACCCTTGAAATCATGACAGTTCCCAGACCAACAAATAAAGTATGAAAATGGGAGGGAATCTAATTCTATAATACACTACCCAAGTCCTTAGTGAAAGCCAATCCCTCGGTCTTCAATATGCCTCCCCTCAATTATTGCAACTACAGCAAATCTAAAACGACTTCCTCCCAGGACAGCTGCTCTTTCCTGCCTGCTCCTCCCCCCCCCCCCAGGGTATACTTTAGCTTTCAATAAAAAGCTAACGCTTGCTTAGCTTACGGGGTACCTTCTGAAATTCTTTTCTCCCCAAAACCTCCACTTGGAGGCAGATAATACTATCATTATTCTACACATAAGGAAATCCTGGTTCAGGTAGGTCACAAAAAACCTGGTTCAGGTAGCCAGGTTTCTGGGTAGAAAAGAGCAAAAACCAAAATGGTAACCCAGGCATGCTCCACGGCCTGTACTCTTCACCTCCAAGTAAAAAGCAGAGGAGGCATAGTAGAAAAAAAGCACTTATTCCAGAGTTGAGAGAACTGGGCATAATCTCAGGTTTCCTCATTTTTGATACATCTCATCTCTTTGAGGCTCAAACCATAAAATGTTATACTAGTTCAGTAGTCACTTTTGAAGTTACGAACTAACAAAGTACTGACTACCGATATAAAGGTAATGCTAAGAAATAATTTTTTTAAGCAATCACTGCCACCGTCTTCCTACTACATACCATCGTTCATCTAAGACTACTTAAAAACAAACAGGTAAAGAAAAGGATCGCAATGCCGCAAAGCTGAGTCTGCGACAACGGCCGGATCCAGAACACAAAGCCATCCCGGACACTAACAAGGACACAGCTTTGCTCAGGGGGAAGGAGGGATGCGACTGTCAGTTCTCACCAGCCCAAGAGGAGACGGCTGCCACACTGAGCTCCGCTCAGTTTCCTTTCCCGGCCTCCCCAGAAAAGGAGTGCGTGTGCGGCGTCCAGTACTTCTCCCAGCCTGAAAGCCTGAGGCCAGGCCTTCCTAATACCAGAGTCCGTTAACTGAGAAAAGAACTGGAGACTCCAGGGCACTGTACGCCTCAGTTTCGCATTCAAACAAAAGCACTTCCTCAGTCCCGGAAGGGAAGAAATCCCAGCATTCTCCGCTCTGCGCCGGTCTCGGTTGTAGTGCATTCTGGGAAACGTAGTCGTTTTTACGTCCCACTTATTCCCGCTTTTTTCTCCTCCCATGAGGGTTCCAACTCCTGATTTGCTTGGAGAGACAACTAGGCTCTGAGATCATTAAGACTCAATCTGATTCAGTTAATAGGGTAGGTCATAGGGCAAGCACCTGTCTACTCTGAGGGCCTCCTGAGTAGCACTATCTATTATAGTTATCAATAAAGAGTTCATACTATTACTAGGTATCAAACTCCAAACTATACTCTGGAGATGGAGGATAAGAGCATGCAATTACAAGATCATAAATATTTTTGTCGTGCACCCTGTATTTAATTCAACAAACATTTAAAGAATTCTGTTTGGAACAGGAGCTGCAGCAGCAGTGCACAAAAATCCATGACATTTGAAGTTTATAGTGTGATGAACAGAGAAAATAAAAAGTAAGTGAACTGATTGTGGTAAGTGCTATGAAGAAAATAAAACTGGACTATAGAGATACTAAGGTTAGAAAAGTTCTCTGAGGAAGTGAGAGTGCTGATGAATGACCCTTGTCTCAGTAGGAAAAAGAGCATTTCACATAAAGAAAATATCAAGAACAAAGCTCAAAGCTGGAGCAAAAAGGACCAGAGCATAATGTGGTAGAGGTCCAAATCGTGTATGACCTTGTAGAAAGCTATTAGGATATTTAAATAGGAGGATGACATGATCTGATGATAAGCCATATATTTTAAGAATTATTGTGGAGGTTTGTGGTTTAACATGGCACATTGAATATGTACATTCATATTATCCTGCTTCTCAAAATCTAACAAAATGATAGTAGGGGATAAATAATAATAAATATCTGAAGAGATTTTTACAAAACTTTGAAAGCTAAATAATGGATAAATGAGTAATAATTAACTTAGTTAAGAACATAAGTCAACAAAAGCAAATCAATTCATACCTCCCCCAAACCTAGAGGTGTTCAGAAATGAAAAAACATGTAGTTCTGAAAAGATGTTGAAATCTGAGTCTAAAAATGGGAACATTTTTCTGAAAGTCTGAATTTTTCTGAAAGCACTTAGAACCCCACCTCCAGATTTCCTCCATCAACATTGTAATAGTTAATTTTAGGTATTAACTTGACTGGATTGAGGGATGCCTAGATGGCTGGTGCAGCTTTGTTTCTGGGTGTGTTGGTGAGGATGTTGCCAGAGGAGATTGACATGCGAGTCAGTGAACTGATAGAACACCTGCCCTCAGTGGGAGTGGACACCATCAATTGCCCAGGGGTCCTGCTGAGACAAACAAATGAAAAAAGAGTGATTCTCCCTCCATTCTTTTTCCATTCTGGAATAAAACACCTTTTCGCTTCCTTCCCTTGCACATCAGACTTAAGGTTCTTCAGCTTTTAAATGTGGAGACTTGCACCAGAGGCCTCTTGGAGCCTCTCAGACTTTCAGCCCCTAACTGGAGACTGCATTCTCACCTTCCCTGGTTTTGAGACTTCTGGACTGTGCCACATTACTAGTTTCTCTGGCACTCTAATTTGAAGCTGGCCTGTCATGAGACTTCTCCACCTCTGTGATAATGTGTCAACTCCCAAATAAATTGCCTTTCATATATCCCATTGTTTATGTCTCTCTGGAGAACTCTGACTAATACAACTAAGTTGCTATGAGACTCATTTTTCCTGTCCAGACAGAAAGCTATAGGTTTAGTTCATTCAGCAAGGCTCTGAACACAGAAATGAAGAGCTAAGAGGGGGGTCAAGGGGCTGGACTGAAAATTGGAAATAGGGCTCGGCGCCTGTGGCTCAAACGGCTAAGGTGCCAGCCACATACACCTAAGGTGGCGGGTTTGAATCCCCAGCCCGGGCCCGCCAAACAACAATGATGGCTGCAACCAAAAAATGGCCAGGCATTGTGGCGGGCGCCTGTAGTCCCAGCTACTTGGGAGGCTGAGGCAGGAGACTCGCTTGAGTCCAGGAGTTGGAGGTTGCTGTGAGTGTGATGCCATGGCACTCTACCCAGGGGGATAGCTTGAGGCTCTGTCTCAAAAAAGAAAAAAGAAAAAAGAAAATTGGAAATAGGGAAAATTAAATACTAATTAATGAATCCCCAACCTTCTCCTCCCATCACATTCTAATGTCTGATTTGTGACTCCAAGACAGTCAATTAGAAAATTCCTCCATAGAGAAGTTGATTTCACCAACAGAAATGACTATAGATGTCAACTTTTAGGAAGTTCTGCAATGAAACATCTAGGTCCCATTTTATCACTTGATAGAGAGGCCACCAATTGGTGAATAAACAAGTTCCCATAACACAGGTTGCAGTAGGGTTTCTTTAGTGTCTTATTTTTACATGTTAATGAATACATGGAAGCTCAATGACTAGTAGGCATTTGAGTACATCCTATAGCAGGTACGATGAACCACTCCCCCAAAATTAAGCTCTGAAGAAACACTAAAGGGAGAAAAAAATTCAATGGAAACTATAATTAATATCCCAGAAAGATAAGAAAATGTATTTAATCTCTGAATTAAAAATAGGAAATAGCTCTTGGGATTAAAAAGAAAAGTCATAGATCTTAAAATGCATATGGAGGACTAAAAAATAAAACCCAAAGAATTTCTCAGAAAATAGAACAAAAAGAACAAGGGATGAAAAGGAGGGCAAAAAAAAAAAAAAAATCAAACAAATGGTGTTCCATATCCAACTATGAAGAGATACAAAAAGGAATAACAGCAAAACTGTGGAAAATTATCAAAGAAATGATATTGAAGATAATTTTCCCAAAACATTACATCTTTTCCATTCTAAGCTCCTACAAAAGTGACAGAGAAAGCAAAGGAAGTGGACAATATAAAATTCAACAAGAAGCTATTCCAAAATAAGGGAGAACAGAAAAAAATGAAGGAAGGACTAGAACGAAGAGAGGGAGAGAGAAAGAAGTGACTGACAGATCACTTTATCTTTACGGCCTTACTGAGAGAAACATACCTTGTAGAAGCAGAGTAGTGACTCTCAAACATGTTCATGTCCCAACTTACAGTACATGTTAATGTGTTGCCTTACATGGCAAAAGGGAATTTGCAGATACAATTAAGTATCTTGATGGGGAGATTATCTAGGACAATGCAATGTAGTCACAAGGGTCCTTATATGAGGAAAATAGGAGGTTCAGTGTCAGGGAAGATGTGATAACAGAAGGAGAAATAGAGTGATTCAATTGTTGAAAGGGGTCCAAAACCAAGGAATGTGGTAGCTTTGAGGGATTGGAACAGCCAGGAAATGGCTAGATCCCCTTAGAAGCTACAGAAGGAACATGGCCTTGGTGATACCTTGATTTTTAGCTCAATGACACCCATTTTGGACTGCTGACTTCTAAAATTATAAGATAATAAATTTGTTGTGTTGTTTTATGCTAAAAAGTTTGCAATAATTCGTCAAAGCAGCAATAGGAGACTAATCCACATGTCTAGTAGTATGTTTGAGGATGAATTGGTGATTAGTATGTGTAAAACCAAATAAATGGTAATGATAGAAAACAGGCAATTATTAACTTTAGAACAACAAAAACACTATACAAGGAAGAAAATATAATTATAGTATGCCATGAAATGTTTTGACCACTATTTACCAGTTATTTACATAACTAGTAAAAACTGATTTAACCATAATTTTAATAGAACTATACTGGAAGTTGTGAGATAATGAAGTGTGTGTAAGTAGGGGTGTGTGTTGTGAGACTAGTGTAGTAAAAGTGTGGTAAATACTCATATAAAAGTGAAGAAATAGCATTATGGGAAGTTCTGACAATGAAGTTTATGAGCTCATTCTACAAAAAATGTTACATTCCTCATTGCTAAATATCACTGTGGTCACCTTCAAAATACTCCTCTTGGGAAGCCATGCACTGATGCTATTGCCTAGTCCACCACTCAACACAATTTTGGAAATCTTTTTCTACAATGATCTTCAGAGCTGTCATTGTATCATCCTTGATGTCCTAAATGTTATCAAAATGTCTCCCTTTAGATATTTCCTTTATCTTCAGGTAAAGAAAAATATCACTGAGGGTTAGATCAGGTGAGTAGGAAAAGTGTTCCAATACAGTTATTTGTTTACTGGCTAAAAACTGCTTCATAGAATGCCATGTAAGCTGGCGCATACTTGTGATGCAAGAGCCATAAGTGGTTGGCAAGATTTTCAGTTAAGGTTTTCCTAACTGTCTCTTGTTGATATTTACTTGGTCTGTTGAAGTTCTCACAGTCAGCCAATGATTTTGACACACAATTCAATGATTTGTTGAAATGTTTTCATCACTTCTGCTCATTACTGGCTGTCCTGATCTCTTTTCATCAGTGTTGCTATCTCTGTCCTCAGAAAAACTCACTTTTACATAGCCATCTGTTTTTTTTTTTCACATAAACAAAATTTTATGCAGAATATCATAGGATTTGCTACCTCCATTCCACAAAGTAGATTTCATGTTAAAAACTCCAGTTTAGAATCCAGCATACAAAATGCTAAAAGTATTAATGGAGGAATAAATAAGGAAAATAAATAAGCAGGCAAATACACAGAGGAGTGTATCGTAATGCACGCTTTTATGTTGGCTGATGAAAAAATTGTTTCCAAACCTAAGCCTATGAAAATTTATTTGATGAAATTATTTGAGATATGAATGAGACATAAAATATATTTAGGTGTTAATTATTTTATTTACAAAATTCTCAATAATACAACTGCTTGGAAAAAATACCAAAGGCTTGTTCATTATTCTCAGAAGTGGAAAATAAAAAAAAAAAGTGGCATAAAAATCCATACTCGGTTAAACTGTTAAAGCAGATAATTGACAATTAAATGTTTGTAGTATACCTCAAACAAGTAGGGAAAAATGAATTTAATCATAGGAACTTGA